AAACAAAATGAAATGAAATGAAATGAAAATGAAATGAAAATGAAATGAAAATGAAATGAAAATGAAAATGAAATGAAACGAAATGAAAATGAAATGAAATGAAAATGAAACAAAATGAAATGAAAATGAAATGAAAATGAAATGAAACGAATGAATGAAATGAATGAATGAATTAATGACTTGACATGAAATGAAAGAATTGAAATGAAAGACTTGAAATGAATGAATTGAAATGTATGAATTGAAACGAATGAGTTGACATGAATGAAGGGAAATGAATGAATAAATGATTGAATGAATTGACATGAATGAATTCAAATGAATGAATTGAAACGAATGAAGTGTCATGAATGAACTTAAGTGAATGAATTGAAACGAATGAGTTGAAATGAATGAGTTGACATGAATGATTTGAAATGAGCGAACTGAAATGAATGAATTGAAACGAATGAATTGACAAAAGGAATTGAAATGAATGAATTGAAGTAAATGAATTGACATGAACGAACTGAAATGAACTGAAATGAATGACTTGACATGAGTCAATTGAAATGAATCAATTGACATGAATGACTTGCCAAAAGTGGCCCGAAACCCTCAGTTTTTTTTTACGTTTTTTATGTGAAGCCGAGCTCTCGCTACAGTCTCTCGCACATTTTGCCGACCTAATCTTCCAAAAGTGCTCCGAGCCCCTCAGTTTTTTAACATTTTTCAAGTGGAAATCGAGCTCTCGCTACAGTCCTGTGCACATTTTGTCGACCACTTTCCCCGATCGAGCCGCGCACCCGCAGAAACAGCGACCACGGCAGCCACTTTACCCGAAAAAATACAGGGTTTCGCGCCCAAGAGTGTCTTCAAGCCTGAATTCACGCGTTCCCGATCCTAACACTTCCCAACTACTTGCATGATCATGTGGTTGCCATGATGATTGAGGTGATGATGTGGTTGCCATCATGATGAGAAAGCTAGCCATGACAATCGTTCGTAATTCGGAAGTTTCCTAACTAAACTTCCTTTGAACAAGAGAACAGTTCAGAACAGTACAGTACATCAGAAGAAATAACAGTTGGATTATAGTTTGATTTAGTTGGATAGTGCTCAGATTCCAGGCCTGCTTCAGCGCCAAGGCCGCCTGGATTCGCACTTTCAGATTTTCCGTCCTCAGGAGGTCACCTGCCAAATATCCGGTCGAAAAAAATGAAAGACTCAATCAGACACGATTAGACGAATTTTTAGATCGACTCAGCTACACTCAGCTCGACTCAGCTCAACTCAGCTCTTGTGTATTCTTAGGATTTCTTAGGCTGTGTCAACCTTTCCTCCTTTCAGCCCAGGAACACAGAGCTTCCATCAACTTCGTCACGACTTCTGGATAGCTGGCTGCAGCTGCCAATTGCCCGGCTGAACGGCAACCATTCCACTGACACTTTGGCGGAGGTTTCTGCACAGCCACTGTTAGCCTTGGGAGACATACCATGAACAGCAAAGGATCTTGCCGAGTCTTTCTCGGCAAGAAAACACAGGAGGTGTCAAAGTTCAAAGCGCTGATTTGACCAGAACAAAGTGGCTGTACCCAAGAGTTTGTGATGAGACTCAATGTATGTTCAACTTTCAACCATTGTTCAACACTATTCAAATGATTTCAAAGTATGTCAAATGTAGACTCAGAGATATTCAGAGATGAGATTTTCAAAAAAAGACTGCCAGGGTACAAGTCCGCCAAGTCTTGAATCTGTCCAGGCTTCAGCCCGAGCTCCGCCACGCAGCCGACTGCTCGTAGTCCGGAAGCCCTGGCCTTATCCGAGGGATCTGAGCAGAGCGGCATCAAGGCTCTGGCCACGTTCTCTCGCTGCAGCTCCTGGGCGCGGCGAAGCGGTTTGTTACGGTTTGTTGATGTTTGTTGTATCAGATCGCTCCTGCAATGACATTCCAATCTGATTCGATCTGATTCGATCTGTGACCTGTGTTGGAGCGGCCATCATTGTGGTGCCTATCCGATAGATGGTGGGCATGCTACGTGATGCTAGGCGATGCTTCTATGGGCAAATTGCTGTATCTGGCCTGCGCCTTGACAGCTTCCAAAATCATCCAAAGAAGTTTATGTCCAATCTGCTGATCACAAAATATACACAATTTCCGTAGTCCTTTCGCAGGAATCGGCGTGTGAATCAAAGGCTTCTGGTCCCCTACTTTGGTGGGTTCTTCTGCTCCCAAAAGGTCCGGCCGGAATTGCCCAGGCGCATCGCTTGTCAGCAAGGGTGCAAAACTTGCCAACGCTGTCGCACAAGCAGATCGCACATCACCCGCAGAATCAGCAGCCAAAGGTAAAACTCGGCAAATGACTTCTTTCCTGAGACACTTCACCCCAGCGGAATCACGACAAGCATGCGGCCTCAACTTTGTGGCCGCCTGAGACATAGTCCCTGCACTTTCGATGTTGCACAAGTTTCCAAACAGCATAAACTGTCAAGGTGCCCTTCTACATGGGAAAACGTCCCAGTGAGTGCACCAAGCGCCTGCACTGCGGCAGTGCGCACTCCACCATTGTTGTCCTCGAGTTTGGGATAAAGGGCTTCCTGAGACACGAGCTGCCAATGAAGCCCGTGAAGCGCAATGTAGAAGTAGATAGGTGATGATAAATGTACAATTTACAAATGGTATGGCAACTGCAAGAAACCTGGGCACTGCAGGTTGAATGTTCTTCATCAATTTTGCCCATCGCGTGAAGGCACACAACAAATATTTGCTTGGTTTACACCAAGTTTAATGCACTCTCATATGGTTACAAGTTTTTGTTTTTTGGGTGGCCTATCGCTTTGCATGGTTTGGTGCACTTTCTCAACACAAGTAGTCTACGCTTATTTTGACCGCATCTCACATGAATGTACATGAATGTATATCGTGCCTATGGACCTATGGGCCTATGGGGGCATAAACTATTGAACATTTTGTGTTTATTCATTCAAAAGACTGGGTGTTTGGTGGGCTCTTCAACTGCGGCTTTTGCATCTTTAGTCAGAATGAGTTCAGAAAGTCTCAAATCAAAAAACGAACAAACCAGCCCTCGTGACTCAACAAGTTTCCAGCGCTTTGGAGCATCTGAAGCCTTCCGCTCGCACCAAGCACGGCAGCGCACTCATGGCAGCAGCACGGACAGACGCATTGGTTTCAAGCCGCTGAGCAGCATGAAGGAGGTCCTCTTTAGAAACAGCAACTGTGGCGGTCTTTAAGACACTTTTAGAAGCGAAATCAAGCATGATTGGGCTGAAAACATCAAAATAAATGAGAACTCTTTGGCTCTGCACAGCACGAGATTCTTCCAGGAACTGGTGGGAGAAGCGCCAGTCAATGGAAGAAACTGCAGGGAGATCGCTCAAGAGCCGAAAACCTCGCAGCCGCAACATGGAGCTGTGGTATGTCACCAGCATCGTGATCAACTTTTCCAACAAACCGATGGTCGACTCCTGAGTTCGAATGCAGGATCTCACTTGAGAAGTGCCAAGAATTCGGAAATTGCAACTGGAAAAAAGGCTCTGCATCCATCCCTTTGTCTCATTTGTCTCAAGAAGTACTTCACTAAAAGCTGACAATTTTCCATGATTCCTCTAATGCAGCTTTGTCTCTGGCAAGGCAGAAGGGACGAAGGTTGCCAGGCGACCTCCAGTTCCAAAGAATCCAACTGAACCTAACTTCCAGAAAAGCAAAAAAAAAACAAAAAAAACAATACTTCACAAAATTTGGCATCCTTCGAATGACTTCAAACCCATTCAAACACTTTGATACACCTTGGACATCTAATGATATTCGCAGAACGCGCAGCGTGCCTGTGAGCAGAGCGAACTCTTGAATCAACACAGGTTCTTCGGCCTCGGTCTTCTCTGCCTTCCCTTTGCGGCTGTTCTTCCCACCCTCCCGTTTGTCCGCACTTGGCGTTGGTGGGCGCAATTGGTTGCGTTGCAGCTCTGCCATGAGATCCAGCATCTGCTGCAACAGCCAATCCTCAACAGGAATCAGACGGAATCTGTTTCACAGGGCACAAAGAATGTCAAGTTCCAAGCATTGTCAACTGACACTCGGTGTCTTTGCAATTTCTATTAGATCTGTTAGGGTCTGTCTTTTGCTTCCCAGGATGGTTAACATGCTCGTGGAGCCCGAGCCACTGCTGGTGGTTTGGCTGTCACGAAGAGGTATTGAGTGAGTTCGCTGCTGCAATCGTCTCGTTTGAGCACCTTGGCCAGAGACATTGACCTCTCCAGGAGTCAGCAATATCAGCAGCAGACCGTCGAAACCGGGATCCTCTATGTGTCATCCTCTAAAGAAATTGTGGAGAGGAGATGTCTCAAGGCTCATCATAACCTAACACTGAACCAAGTGACTGATCCAATGGCCATCACTGCCGCCAGAGCTTGTGCAGACGCCTGCAAGATGCAAGTTCTAGCAAGGCCACAGAGAAAGAGAGACAGAGATAGATAGATAGATGGATAGATAGATAGATAGATAGCTAGATGGATGGAAAGATAGATGGATGGATAGATAGATCGATAGATCGATAGATGGATGGATGGATAGATGGACGGATGGACAGATAGATAGATGGATGGATAGATAGATAGATGGATAGATAGATGGATAGATAGATGGATGGATTGATAGATCGATAGATGGATGGATGGATAGATGGGTAGGTAGGTAGATAGATAGATAGATAGAAAGGTAGATAGATAGATAGATAGATGGATGGATAGATAGATAGATAGGTGGATGGATAGATAGATTGATTGATTGATGGATGGATAGATGGATGGATGTACGGATGGATGGGCGGATGGATGGATGGATGCATGGATGCATGAATGGATGGATGGATGGATGGACAAATAGATAGATAGATGGACGGATGGACAGATAGATGGATGGATAGATAGATAGATAGATGGGCGGATGGATAGAAAGATAGATAGAAAGATGGATGGATAGATGGATGGATAGATAGATCGATGCATCGACGGATGGATAGATAGATGGATAGATAGATAGATGGACGGATAGATGGATACATGGATGGATAGAAGGATAGATGGGTACATGGATGGACGGATGGATAGATAGATAGATGGATCGGTGGATGGATGGATGAATGGATGGATGGATAGGTAGATAGATAGGTAGATAGATAGATAGATAGGTAGATAGATAGATAGATAGACAGATAGATCGATAGACAGATGGACGGATGGATAGATATATAAATAGATGGATAGATGGACGGATGGATGGATAGATAGATGGATGGATAGATAGATAGACGGACGGATGGATGGATCGATAGATGGATGGATAGACAGATAGATGGATGGATAGATGGACTAATAGATAGATAGATGGATGGATAGATAGATAGATGGACGGATGGATAGATGGATGGATAGATTGATGGATAGATAGATAGATGCATCGACGGACGGATAGATAGATGGATGGATAGATGGACGGATGGATAGATGGATGGATAGATGGGTAGATAGATAGATAGATAGATAGATAGATAGATAGATAGATAGATTAGAATAGAATAGAATAGAATAGAAAAGAATAGATAGATAGATAGATAGATAGGTAGATAGATAGATAGATAGGTAGATAGATAGATAGATAGATACATAGATAGATAGATAGATAGACAGATAGATAGATAGATAGATAGATGGATGGATGGATAGATAGATAGATGGATGGATGGATGGATGGAGGGATGGATGGACAGAGAGATAGATGGACGGATGGATAGACAGATAGATGGATGGATAGATGGATGGAAAGATAGATGGATGGATAGATCGATAGAGAGATAGAGAGATAGAGAACCAGGCGAGGCAGCCAGGCACCCAAGATTCCTCACAGAGGATGAAAAGTATTAGTGCCGTCCATCAGCATTGGAAGATCACCAATTTGTTCGGCTGATTGGTTGCCCTTTGCTTCTTTGTTCCTTTCATACGTCCTTTCCACATTCTCCATTTTCGCTATCTTCTTCCATGTTTGATGTGGCTCAGGTGTTACATGCTTGATATCATTATTAATATGTTCACTGCTGAAATGAAAAACTCTGCGTAGCATGGCTCTTGTGCATCATGATAAAGTACCACGTACGTCTTGCCGCGAAGCATTCTACAGACTCGCTCCAGAGCCTTTGTGACAAAGAATCTCTGCAACCTTGGTTTTATAGGCAAATGTGATCGCCTGCCAACCCCGGCTAGCACAAAACACTCGCTCTCTCTCTCTCTCTCTCTTTCTCTCGCTTTCTCTAGTCACTGTTTCTTCCTTTTTACCTTCGTTTTCTTTTGGGGTCGTTCTACCTTTTTTTCCTGTTTCCTTTTTCTTCCTGATGCCCTTCTCTACTTTCTCTATCCATCTTTCGCCCATCTTCCTTCTCACCACCTCTGCAAGTTATTTTGTTGCTCTCTTCCTTCTCTCTTCTCTTCATATTCTTTCCTTCTTTTCTCGGTGCTTCTCTTTCTCCCTTGGTTTTGAGATCCTTTACCGTGTTTCTCGCTGAAGGAAAGAAAGTTTGCAGCTAGGGACAAGCCACCTACAATCGCACTGAGCACTGGTAAGTCCAAACTGGTTGGGTGAGTTTGGTGAGGTTCCCTGCCCAGATTTGATGGAGCTTGGGAGCTAGGACGTAAATGGATTTGATGTTTGGCTGCATCTTGGTTGCCTCAAGCTTCAAGTCAGCCAGCGAGAGAAATGTCAGAAGCTTGTGAAGAAGTGAAGTCAAAAGGCCACTGTGGAGTTTGGTGTACGGCGTGCAGGTCGCCAAGTCAGAACCTCATTGAAACACGAAAACTGTCCAGAGTTTCAGGGAGGGGGAAAATGTCTGTGACCAAGTGCCAAATGGCAAGGAACATACAAAAAATGAGGTGGTGTATCAAAAGTCGCGCCTCATACAATCGGAAAAACACAGGTGATTTGCATCAAGTTCAAACAATAATTCAAAACTTGCATCAGTGGTGAGTGTTGATTTTATTTGCGTCATTTCTTTTGTATCTTTTCTTTTGTATCTTTTCAAAAAATCAGCACACCTTGAGCGAACAGGAAACAGGCGCGCAAGGCATTCAACTGCGTCAGCTCATCGCGGTCGATCAATTCCATCACCAAGGCATGGGACCTGGTGAGAACAAACGAATAAAATTTGAACCCTGCCAGGTTAAGAATTCCGAAACCAGGCAAATTGCTGTCAAACTGACAAACCATTCCTGTCTTATTGGGTAGATGGCAAGGCTGTACTATGCAGCTGGGCAGCTGCCGAATGGTTACTGCCAACTGCCCCGTGAGCGACGTACTGCTCTGCTGAGTTTTCCTGGGACAAGGCTGCTGAGGCCCAATCCCGACTTGTGCGCAACATTGAATAGGAGCATCATCTGTCTTCACTAAAACATCTTAAAACCTGCATGATTCCAATTCGCAAAAGACAAAGAAAAAAGCCTTGAGCCACTTGCCCTCGACATACCTCGACTACCCGTCACGTCACTTGCCACTGCCTGCGTCACTTGGCCGCCAAGCTTCGCTGCCTCCAGGGGAACTGGCCAAGTTCGAAGTTGCGGCGCCTGCAGAAGTGCCAGCAGTGCGGACAGCGCTGCAGTTCGCACCTTGGGCGCTGGATCCTGTTCACCTCAGCGCAGCTACAATGAACGAAGGTAGAATAGAATGATTAATGGTGACTAATGATGATTAATGTAGAAGGTAGACCGTCCGTCCGAAAAGAAACCTTTGCTGTTCGTACCCCATTGTTTCCGGACTTCTGCAGAGATAAATCACAGTTTCATCTTTGCTCTGGAATACACGCGGGCATGCTAAGCTTAATGGCACTTCATCAAGTCACAAATTGAGAGCAACATGGGCAATGGCTTTCCAGTAGGACGACAAACCTCTCCAGATTGAAAGTCCAGAACCAGCGGCCATCGGCCGAAAAAGGCCTGACAAGCCCGCGCTCCAAGACCATTATTGTACCCTCCATGCTGGCCAGACGGCCAGACTGCCCAAGAAATACATTCTGATTCAGTTGCTGTGTATGAGCATTTCAAAAACCATGTCCTGCGAAAATAAATGCTGAGCGCTTTGTTGGCTTACCAGTTGTGAAGCCGTGGGGCCTTGTGCCTGTGCTGTGTACCAAGACTCGCCGGCCTTCGGCCACAAGCGAAAGAGTTGGGCAAAGTTTCGCAGTGCCAGAGCTCGCAGCTGAATCTGCTGCGGTTCCACTTTGCTCGAGTCTTTGCCTGCCGCCGTGTGGGAGACTTCAGTCCATTCTACTAGGTGGGGCTGTGCAGGATGGTTTTGAAAGATAAATAATACTGAAGCCCAAAAATGACTCTTCCAGTTCCAGGACAAAGCTGGACATGTTTGAGAGTCCAGTAAAGTTTACGTGCCTTTACATGTCTTTATCTGTCTTGACTCAAAATCCTACAATATGATACAATATGTATCAATGTCAATAATTATTATTTTTCCATTGTTTTCATTGGTTTCCTTCTGCGTTCTGCCTTCGCCTCTCCCTTTGCCCTTTACGCGCTCCGTGGCGCTCGCATCTGTCTCAGACCAAGAGCAGTCCGACGGATCTCGTGGCGCTAAGCCCGCCAAGCCCGGCGGAGGTCGGGCACGGCCAGGGAGGACATAGGGAGCACCAAGAACCGCAAGCGGCTGGAGAGATGCCAAAGCAGGAAGGGCTGAAGCCTCGCATAGTGCCATAGCAGTGCCATAGCAAAAACGTATCTAGAAACACTTTGTGGATCTTTGTTTCATCCAGGAGACTTCTTACATCTTACATGTTCTTACGCTTCTTGCATCTTTTCAATATTCCAATGTCAAGTGATTGACCACGTGAGCCTTATAATCCGCCGACCCCTGCCAACCGCAGAGGGAATTCGTCAGAGAAAAAGTGTCGTGATGGAGCGAACTACAAGTGTCGTACTGGAGCGAAATACTTGAGCCCCACAAGCGACATGAAATTTTGCTCTGGCGCAGCCCGGCTTTCGAGGCTTCGCCCGGGGCTCTACAAGCTACTTTTCGAAGAAATTAAGAAGGGGGCTCTACAAGCCATTTTACTAGGGGGTTCAGAAGGTGACGTCCGCTCTACACAAGCTTTTTGCTGTGGCGAGGCTCTATAAGCTACTTGTCTTTCGCTTAAAGAAATGTTCTTTCCTTTTGCAAGTTCAATGAGGACCAAATTTCTGAGTTTGTGGCGGCGTTTTGTGTCTGATTTGGATGCGGCCAGATGACTTGCTTGACAAAAACTGGAGGAGCTGAAATGTCTAGATTTTAGTAGGGAGAAACTGACATGTCCAGATTTTTGCAGGGATCCAGAGGGGACGTTAGGCACTTTTTTGAATTCCTTTTGCTACGTTTTGGGAACGAAATTAGGTGGTGTTTTGCCGTCTCGCATGCGTCACAGAAGCATCACAGAAACATATCTTTGCATCCCGCTCTGACCCACCAACACCCCGTAATTTACGGTGTTTTCTGCTCGTCGAGAAAAACAACATAACAACTTCAGGGGGGCACCCCTTGACCCAACATAGCCCCAACATAGCTCCAAGATGGCCCAAGATAAGACCCAAGATGGCCCAACTTAGGCCCAACATGGTCGCACAAGATAGACCCAACATGGCCAAACGTAGCCCCAAGATGGCCCAACATAGGGCCAAGATGGTCGCATTATAGGCCCAACATGGCCCGACATAGCTCCAACATAGCGCCAAAATGGTTCAACATAGCGCCAAGGTGGCTCAAGCTAGGCTGAACGTAGGCCCCAGGTGTGTCAAGATAGGCCCGACGTGCTGTCATCAACAACAACAACAACAACAACAACAGCAACAACAGCAACAACAGCAACAACAGCAGCGACAGCGACAGCAGCGACAGCAGCGACAGCAGCGACAGCAGCGACAGCAGCGACAGCAGCGACAGCAGCGACAGCAGCGACAGCAGCGACAACAGCGACGACAACAACAACAACAACAACAACAACAACCACAACCACAACCACAACCACAACAACAACAACAACACCAACAACAACCACAACCACAACAACAACAACAACCACAACCACAACCACAACCACAACAACCAACAGCCACAAAAACAACAACACCAACAACCACAACCACAACAACAACAACAACAACAACGACAACGACAATGACAACGACAACGACAACGACAACGACAGCAACGACAACAACCACAACAACAACAACAACAACGACGACAACAACAACAACAACGACAAACACAACGACGCTAACAACACCGGCAGCGGCAACAACAACGACAATGCAACACCAACACCATTGACAGGCAAGACCAACCGCAGCACCGGCAACAACACAGCAACAACAGAACAACAACATCAACAACAACAACAACGACGACGACGACGACGACGACAACGACAACGACAACGACAGCAACAGCCACAGCCACAGCCACAGCGACAACAGCGACAACAGCAACAACAACAACAACAACAACAACAACGACAACGACACTAACAACACCGGCAGCGGCAACAACAACGACAACTCAACACCAACACCAACCACAGGCAAGACCAACCGCAGCACCGGCGACAACAACAGCAACAAAAGAACAACAACAACAACAACAACAGCAACAGCAACAGCGACAGCGACAGCGACAGCGACAACAGCGACAACAGCGACAACAGCGACAACAGCGACAACAGCGACAACAGCGACAACAGCGACAACAGCGACAACACCAACAACACCAACAACAACAACAACAACAACAACAACAACAACAACAACAACAGCAACAGCAACAGCAGCAGCACCAGCAGCAGCACCAGCAGCAGCAGCAGCAGCAGCAGCACCAGCAGCAGCAGCAGCAGCAGCACCAGCACCAGCAACAGCAACAGCAACAGCAACAGCAACAGCAACAGCCACAACGACAACGACAACGACAGCGACACCAGCGACGACGACGACAACAACAACAACAACAGCAGCGGCCACGGCGACAGCGACGGCGACGACGACGACGACGACGACCACCACCACCACCACCACAACAACAACAACAGCGACGCAAGCAGCCGGACGCAGCAGCACCGGCAGCAGCGGCAGTTACAATGACAAGAGCACCAGCAGCAGCAGCCGCAGCAGCCGCAGCAGCCGCAGCCGCAGCCAGCAGCAGCCAGCAGCAGCAGCGGCAACCACGACCCCACCCTGTACCTTTTAGCCTGCTGGCCCCACTGTTGGGCGTCAGCCCCTTAAATATCACCAAGTGCAAGACAGACTTGTGAGGACACGGGACACCTCGCCTCTAAATGGCTTGTCATCTCCAGAACAGGTGGCAGCGCTTGCAAGAGATTTACCTCAGCGAGACGAAAAAGCATCCAGCACATTTTATCAGTCTCCACTCAATGTTTCTTCCCTCACTGACTCGACCTCTCTGTACCATGTTGCTCAGATTGGGAGAGTGGGTTGGGTTTGGGTTTTTCCAACTATGAGAAAGAACAAAGTGAATGGCAACATTCGGTCTAGCTGCACTGTAAAGAAATACACAATATATACATAATGTACACTATATAAATATAAACAATCAGTGTGTTTGACAAGTCACAGCTTCACGCAAGACTCCACGCGAGGTGCGATGCTGCTGCACCACATCAGACAGGACTTGAATAGCCTCAGCGGTGAAAACAAGACTGAGAACCCCCCATGTCTACAGTCTCCTCAGCATTCCATATGGCACATCATGCTGAGATCAATGGACTGTCCGGAAAATTTTATATGGATCCTATTCACAGCACCCAGGGAGAGGAATCTTTCTGGCTTTGAATTCCTTGGTTCTCTTAGTTCTATTACAGCTTTTCTGCACAAAGCAACGGAAGGAACGTTTCAATGGTTGAGGCAACGGTTGAGGCAACGGTTGAGGCACGGAACTGGCATGATCCCCGCAGCAAGTTGCTGGGAGCAAGCCTTCACAGATGAAGTTTGCTGTTCTGACAGCCTGGTCGCGACAGGGAAGCTTTGTCTTATAGATCGTCTATCAATCGTATTTTATGTCGTATACATTTTAACGACTCTTGGCGACTCTAATCGAAAATGCCTATACTGCATATACCTTGTTGAATTCTTGGTGGCAAAGTTTATTCTAGAGTATGGTGAGAAGGTGCCTTATCTTTTCCCCTCAAAACGTGCAGTGTCTTGCTACTGCGTTCCCTGACTCTTGAATGTTACTATCAGGGTCTCAATTTTTAGCTGATTGGGATCAAATCCTGGATGTTTGCTGTCTAGTTTGCGGGCTCTTTCAACAATCATGAATTATCACAATATATCACAATAGCCAAGCAAACTGAGCTATAGGAGCGTTCCTCTAAAGACTCTAACCAAAGAAGCTGCAAACCTCTCCCCATTTTGACATCGGACTCAATTATACTCTACTAGACTAGAGAAACTGTTGCCTACAGTATCCAGTGCCGGGCCCTCCGTGCCTCTGTAGACACATCATAGCTTGGCTACTGCTCTGCAGCAGTTTGCTCCGTTTTAGCCATGTTGCCAAGAGCGGCACCAAGCCTTCGACTACTTCGACTGCTGCGATCGCTCCTTCAACGGCCAAACAACGCTGAAGGAGCTGAAGGATGTTGTGCGGTTCCTGAGAGGCAAGGCTTTCTGCAGGTTGGAGTCACGGGAGGTCACAGGAGGTCACGGGAGGTCACAGGAGGTCACGGGAGGTCACGGGAGGTCACGGGAGGTCACGGGAGGTCACTGTGCTCAACTGATCTAAAACTCGTGATTTCCATCGCCAAAGAGGCGCGTCAGGGCATAGGATATGATAGGGGCATTTCTGGTGGAAAGTACTGTCATGAACTGGCTTACCCTCTGGTCGCAATAGCTGACCACCATTCGGTTTCGAAACCCCAATAGCCCAGTGAAAAGGAACCCGTTGCAAAATTGCAAAATCGGGAGGCCCCCAGCTGCGTTCAAATTAAGATTGTCAAAGAAACAGCTGGCCTTAGATGCCTTAGATGTTAACACTCCCAGATTCTGTACTCGACATATTTCGACATCAAAGCAAGTTTCCGGCTCAGATGGCGATAAGATCTCTACTTCAGACGCCGGAAACGTTTGAATGGAGTGTACCAGCTGTGCTGCAACATCACCTGGGCTGATTGCTCATGAAGCCACTCTCTGGATCAATGGGCTGCTTTGTAGTGCTAACGCCGAAAAACTTCAGCCGACCAAAACAGAGTTTGAGCGAAGCACAATTTGATAGGGTGGGGGTCCTTCTGGAAAGCCAAGCTGCAAATTTTCATTGAAGTTGTATTTCACTCCGAAACAGTGCAGCTAAGACATGACCAGTTGCCAAGGCACTTGGAATTGGCCCAACTTTTCTCAAGGCTTCTGCCAACTTCAACAGCTGTTGTTTAGTGAGTTTGCTGCGAAGGCAAAGCCTCACTTCACCCCAGGCGTCATCACTCCGCAGCCTCTCAAGCGCTTGGTCCAGGGAAGGAGCTGCCAGGGTTCCACCAGCCATGAAGCATGAGGCAAAGGTAGTCTCAACGGTAGTCTCAAAGGTATCTGTCGGTACACCGGGAGTATTGACTGCATCTACAGTAATCACCATGTATGGCGCAAGGCGGCCCAAACCCTGTTCTATCTTTTCTTTTTTTTGTCCTGCATAATCCTGTGCTATCCTGTCTTTTCCTGCTTCGCTGCATTTGTTCTGCTTTGTTCTAGGTTCCAGCTTTGTCTTGTGCCCCACTTTGCATGGGCATGCTCAAAATATAGGTCTGACCATTTGATGCTTTTGAAGAAAAAATCCGCGACATCGCCATGAATCTCTTGCGTTTGCTGGGGTTGCATCAGCTTCAAAACCGCAAGGTCGAGTCTTCAGTGCCAATGGATGTTTTCTTCATCCAAACCGTCTGCATGTGACTGCCTAGCTTGAGCAAACGCTCAAAAGTCGGATATATTGCACCAACCAAGATAGCGGGACCCCCAGAAATGAGGTAGCCGAGACCGACGGTCCAATCTGTGAGTGAGGTGGTTTTCCCGGCAAAATCCAACGCTGCGGGCTCTTTCTGCATAGCTCATAGCACCAATGCAAATTGTGAAGATAAATGAAGACATGGCTTGGAACAACAACAAGTGAATCGCCATGTTGGACTACCCCCCAACGAAACGCCCGCTGGTTTAACATTGGTAGGCGAACGCAGGCAGACTCAAAGGAGACCCAAAAATGGACCAGGCCACAGCTCAACGCTGCTCAACTAGGCCGAGCACATCTGCACCAGCCACGGGAAAGCCAAGTGCTGAAGTTGCAGCGTTGCCTTTGGTTGGAAGGACAATGTATGTAGAATATGTAAATAATATACATGTGAATATAATGTATGTATGTATGTATGTATGTAGGTAGGTAGGTAGGTAGGTAGGTATGTAGGTATGTAGGTGTGTAGGTGTGTAGGTGTGTAGGTATGTAGGTATGTAGGTATGCAGGTATGCAGGTATGTAGGTATGTAGGTAGGTATGTAGGTATGTAGGTATGTATGTATGTAGGTATGTATGTAGGTACGTAGGTATGTCTGTCTGTCTGTCTGTCTGTCTGTCTGTCTGTCTGTATGTATGTATGTATGTATGTATATATGTGTATGTATATGTGTATGTATATGTACATGTATATGTATGTGTATATGTATATGTCTATGTATATGTATATGTATATGTATACGACGTGTATGTATGTATGTATGTATGTAGGTATGTACGTATGTATGTATGTACGTATGCATGTATGCATGTATGCATGTATGCATGCATGCATGCATGCATGTATGTATGTATGTGTGTATGTATGTATGTACTGTTATGGTACTGTTATGGTATGTTATGGTATGTTATGGTATGTTATGGTATGTTATGGTATGTTATGGTATGTTATGGTATGTTATGGTATGTTATGGTATGTTATGGTATGTTATGGTATGTTATGGTAGGGTAGGGTAGGGTAGGGTATGGGATAGGGTATGGGGTAGGGTATGGGGTAGGGTATGGGGTATGGTATGGGGTATGGTATGGGGTATGGTATGGGGTATGGTATGGGGTTTGGTATGGGGTATGGTATGGGGTTTGGTATGGGGTATGGTATGGGGTATGGTATGGGGTATGGTATGGGGTTTGGTATGGGGTATGGTATGGGGTATGGTATGGGGTATGGTATGGGGTATGGTATGGGGTATGGTATGGGGTCTGGTATGGGGTCTGGTATGGGGTCTGGTATGGGGTATGGTATGGGGTATGGTATGGGGCATGGTATGGGGTATGGTATGGGGCATGGTATGGGGTATGGTATTGTATGCATGTATGCATGTATGCATGTATGCATGTATGCATGTATGCATGTATGCATGTATGCATGTATGCATGTATGCATGTATGCATGCATGCATGCATGCATGCATGCATGCATGTATGTATATGTATGTATGTATGTATGTATGTATGCACGTATGTATGTATGTATGTATGTATGTACGTATGTACGTTTGTATGTATGTATGTATGAATGTGTGAATGTATGTATGTATTGATGTATGTATTAAAGTATGCATTAATGTATGCATGTATGTATGCATGTAGGTATGTATGTATGTAATGTAATGTAATGTAATGTAATGTATGTAATGTATGTAATGTATGTAATGTATGTAATGTATGTAATGTAAATAATGTATGTAATGTATGTAATGTATGTAATGTATATAATGTATGTAATGTATGTAATGTATGTAATGCATGTAATGCATGTAATGTATGTAATGTATGTAATGCATGTAATGTATGTAATGTATGCAATGTATGCAATGTATGTAATGTATGTAATGTATGTAATGTATGTAATGTATGTAATGTATGTAATGTATGTAATGTATGTAATGTATGTAATGTATGTATTGTATGTAATGTATAAAATGTATGTAATGTATGTAATGTATGTAATGTATGTATGTACGTATGTATGTAATGCATGTAATGCATGTAATGCATGTAATGCATGTAATGCATGTAATGCATGTAATGCATGTAATGCATGTAATGCATGTAATGCATGTAATGTATGTATATGTATGTAATGTATGTAATGTATGTAATGTATGTAATGTATGTAATGTATGTAATGTATGTAATGCATGTATTGTATGTAATGTATGTAATGTATGCAATGTATGTAATGTATGTAGTGTATGTAATGTATGTACGTATGTAATGTATGTACGTACATATGTACGTAATGTAATGTAATGTAACGTACCGTAACGTAATGTAATGCAATGTAATGCAATGTATGCCTGTATGTGTGCATGTATGTATGTATGTATGCATTGATGTATGTATGTATGTATGTATGTATGTAATGTGATGTAGTGTAATGTAATGTAATGTAATGTAATGTAATGTAATGTATGTAATGTAATGTAATGTAATGTATGTAATGTATGTAATGTATGTAATGTATGTAATGTAAATAATGTATGTAATGCATGTAATGTATGTAATGTATGTAATGTATGTAATGTATGTACTGTATGTAATGTATGTAATGTATGTAATGTATGTACGTATGTACGTATGTACGTATGTAATGTAATGGATTGGAATGTAATGGAATGTAATGAAATGTAATGTAATGGAATGTAATGTAATGTAATGTAATGTCATGTACTGTAAATGTAAATGTAAATGTAAATATATAATAATGTAATGTAATGTAATGTAATGTAATGCAACGCAATGCAATGCAATGTATGTATGTATGTAATGTATGCCTGCGTGCATGTATGCATGCATGCTGTATGTACATCATTGAACTTGTGTGTCTTGGAAATTATTGGGTAAATAAAAATGCGCTATGTCCATCTCTGAAGTATTCTACACATATTCCCTGTTATGCCGCTATGCACATCAGCAAACTCCCGGTATAGTCACCAAGCTACATGGTCTCTGTGTGGGTTGCCGCCTAAGTCAGAACCATTGCTTTGCGCCATGTCTGGGGATCTAGGGCTGGTGCTTTCAAGCCAGATCGAGTCAGCAAGGAGCAACTCTAAACAAATAAAGATTGTCGGAAACGGTGAACTGCTGTTAGATGTAGACATGTAGACACTCCTAGGATCGACTATATACGTGTAGGTGTTTCAAGCTGGCCATTTTACCTGTGCTTCCTGTGTCACATCTCTCCTGCACCGAGCCACAGGAACTAGCACCACAAAGAAGTCGCATGCTTCCACAAAGAGTGGGATGGAGCCTGGGATCCGCTCTGCGACTTTGAGAGATGGACTTCCAAAACAAATGAGATCAGGTGAGTGTAACGGTTGCAATATCTCAGATGCTCAGATAAATTGAATGTCATTGAATTGTGGAGATACTTTGGGCCTGGGATGCAATGTTTCGGCTCCAGGAAACTCACCATACTGCTGTGCGTTCACTGCCCTCACTGCTGAGGAAGCAGGCACCACCAACATGGTGAGCTTTTCGTGAGACCCACAGCCATCAGTGCAACACCAGCATCCACGCTACAAGATGATCTTGTAAGAAATTTGCACAGAAAAATCTGTTTGTTAGAATGACATCGAGCCTAATTCTTTGCCAATTGGGCAGTTTGGGCAGTCAAGTAGCTGATGACGAGCTCCTGTCAAAAAGCGCGCCCGCGCCTCCCTTCGGCCCCACTCCACACATATACCGCATATATATATAGTATAGTATATATAGCATAATATATGTATATAGTATATAGCCTATATTATATAATACATATATCGCATACGTAACAATATATAAACGTATACCGTATATATAATGACTACAGCAGTACGGAAAGTGGCATGTGCGTGTTCTACATTATATGAGTAGGATATACGTAGTACTACTGTTACCACTGCATCTCATTCTATGCTGCTCAGCGGATTGCTGACCGTGAGCAATAGGGAATGAAAGGAATAGGGTGGCCCTGATCTCTCCTGGCAGTGGCAATGCAATAAATGAAATCTGATCAACGTAGCTCTCTTTGTTCCGTAGATCCCACGAATAATATAGGTTGGCGTAGATAGGATCCCGACTGAAACTACAAGCTACACAGTCATCTTCCCAAATCAGAAAGTGAATCCAAAGACAGCCATTTGCTATTCTCATTGGCACATGTGTGCGTGTGCCTAAAGTTGAATAGCTCTTATTGAAAGTAGCCACTATGCGATTCTAATGCGATTCACAATCCCTCCCTTGACAACGCTTATCCTGCGTCGTCATGGATGACATGCGGGTAAACGTTGTCCCAACCTTGGCAAAGGGTGCAGCTCCTAAACTGCATCACCTCTCTGAAAAAGCCCTGTCTTACAATGGCGCTCCATGAGCAACTGGCATGCGTCTTGCAAAGGGAGTGAAATGTCATGCATGGACAATAGACAAAATAAAATCACGGGCCAGGAAGCTAGAACCCTATTTACTGTAATGTCACTTGCTGTATTGTCAAGGAATCCCAAGCATGACAAACAGAATAGTTCAAGCCATGTGTCGGACTTCGGTGACAGCGCCCATGTGGGAATCGAGTCTGTGCCAAAGTCCCCGTCCAAATCATCCAGTGGGACTTCTTCCATGATTTGTGGGACACTGAACCAGTCAAGCCTTGGAGCATGTGGCATATCGGGGCCTCGAACTATCTGTCACGCTTCACAGACATGCAGCAAGAATCATGTGGTCTCTGAGTCCATGGTGTCCAGAGTTTTGCTAAGAGATGAAGAGAGTGGGAGTTATGGGAGTTAGGTGTGTAGAGACTTTAGAGAATCAAGATTCAATACACTCAACTGCCAGATGCGCAAGTGGACCAAGCAGCCAAATGTAGCTGTCCTGCAGATATCACAGGGAGAGCCACGGTGACAATTTCTCCGTCAAAGCCACGCAAGCATTCTGAGCAAAGTCTGCAGACAAATTATTAACTTTCAAAAGTGTAGATGAAGTGAATACTCCAATGGGAATGGGTTCAAAGCATTTGGGCAGAAAGTGGAAAGCAGATTTTCATCAGAATCACAACCCATGTCCTTCAGCTGCAAGCGTTCCGCGTTGCTTAGGACTTTCCGATCCCCAAAGAACCTCAGAAAAAGAGATCTACCTATATACAGTATCCGATGTATCCGGCAGTGGTATCACAATAGTTGTACATTGCGTGAGACTTAAAAATTCCCAAGGCCAAATCTGCGAATATCACAGCTACGCAAGAGATCGCTGTCTCATCTTCATGGGGAATTGTGTTCCTCCAATGCCCAGATGCTGGGAGGCGACGTCGGTGGAGACATGAAGGCCCTTCAGGATATTTCGTAGAGCCTTCCTGACAAATTTTGATGCAACATGTGGAAACAGCTGGTGCGCAAAATGCTTGAAGATGTGGATCATATCTTAGACAAAGGGCAAACGACAAAATGGCAAAAGGTGGCAATAGTATAGTTTCGAAGGCCATGGCTACTGGAGCCTTTTCTTTCGAGGATACATACCTGACATACCCTGGACATACCCTCTATCAAGGAACTCTGTAAGTCTTCAGCATCGATGACAAGGCACTGCAACACTGGCAGCTGCTCATTTTGCGGATCTGGATGTGAGTCTCCCAGCCACCTCGGGTCAAGTGATTAATTGGCTTGCTGTGTAACTTTCCGTCTGCTCCCCTCCATCTTTCCACAATTTGTCACGTCCTGGTACCATCTGATTTTTTGAAAGTCAGGTCAACAGCCTCTGATTGACATGAGGACCTGCTGAAAGTCGATTTAAGGGGCAAGGTGCTGGTGGGACACGAAGATGCAACAAAACTCCGTCTGGCGTTTCCACAATCTCCTGAAAGCATCTGAAAAAGCATCAAATATATCAAAATATATCATCAAAACGGCTTCCAAAATCGACCCAATGTCTTTCTGTCTTTACGTAGGGACCACCAAAGAAATGCTGGCATCCTTGGAGTTGTGGATGTTTCCCTGAAAATTGGAACATGAGCCGGTTAGAAACACTGCTGGCAACAACTTCCAACCGTTCAGGGGTCATATGGAATCTTCAAGCCTGAAACTACTTTGCAAAGTCCTTGATTTAAAGAGTTGAAGATTCAAAATGTTCACATTCCTGAGACCACAAGCAGAGTGTTCTATGCAAAAGCTGTTTGACAAAGGTCGTATACTCTGTGTGATTGCACTGAGTACACTTCTCTGTGGGAATTTTGGGGTCTTGTGGACACTGTGTTTTGTGGTTCAGTCTAAAGAACTACACCACAAAGCATTGGCCGATGTCTGGCTGTCCCTTGCGTCTTTAGCTCTTCATGGCTTGGCCAGTCAGAAAAGGAGAGGAAGTCGGAGATCTTCACGACCTGCAAGGTTTTCAATCAACAAATGTAGCGGAGCAAGCAAACTTCAGAACATGTCCTGTCGCTGACCTTTTCAGATTCCACAAACGACTGGGATCAGTTTGGTCTGTGCAGCTTTGAAAGTGATACAACTTTCTAGGGTGAATTGCACACTCTTCATGGACAAAATCCTTCACCTGTTGTGACTCTAGAACCGCCCATATGCAATGTTCTTTCCTGAGACTTCTTTGGGTTCAGGAGCTTGTCCATCAACAGTACATGGGACCGCTGCATCTCAAATCTGTCACTGCTGTAATTGGAGATACCCAACACATGTCTGCAACAGTGAAGGAAAACCCTGCGCAGCAATGTTTCCCGTGTCCATCCGCCAAACGACCCACATAGGCATGTTGGTCTCGCTGCATTTCTGATTGGCGCTGCTATGATGGCCACCCATGGCTGCCAGGGTGTGGCACTCGGAAGGGTTCAAGGTTCTGTTTTGGAACAGCGCCGTGTGCCAGTTGAGGTGCCATGATTGCGCTGCTCAGGACTATTTCATGTTTAATTTCCAATGCTGCTGTTGGATTGACCTCAACGCAGTTTGAGCCTTGCACCATGCAAACAGCTCAGTCAATGATGTGCTGTGGCCGTGGAGATGTCTGCCATTCTTCCAGATCCCTTTCCTGATACGACGCATCTCCAGAAACAATAGACTGCAATCAAATTGCGACCCAAAAAGCTAGATGAGGTTGCCCAAAACATCCATGGTTCATGGCTCCCAAACACTAGCTGGCCCAGGCCGTAACCTGAAAAACCCAAGAACGAGATGCTAGAGCCTATTTATGCAAATTTACAATAAGATGCGCAACCTTGAAACCGGGGAAAGAACCTGCTTCGGCCCAAGTTCTTACCCTGCTTCGTTGTCCCACCTGCTCATCTCCAAGAAGGCTCAAGGTCTCTTGGATGGCATGCATCTCGTCAGCACGGCTTTGTGACCGCGCCTGCCAATCCTGGAAAAAAATCATTGGGAAACGAGATTCAGATTCATTCGGGATGATTCAGAATTATATTTCACTAATTCAATATGCGTCAAGAAAATACCAGCAATGCTCGGCGGTCCAAGGATGGAAGTTGCGAAAAGGAACACTGACCATAAGAAATCAATGGTCTATAGGAATGTGATATGCCATGCAGGAGCACTAAAACATTGCGGTCGTGAGTTGAAATGAATTAATTGAAATGAATTAATTGAAATGAATTAATTGAAATGAATGAATTGAAATGAAAGAATTGAAATGAATGAATTGAAATGAAAGAATTGAAATGAATGAATTGAAATGAATGAATTGAAATGAAAGAATTGAAATGAAAGAATTGAAATGAATGAATTGAAATGAATGAATTGAAATGAATGAATTGAAATGAATGAATTGAAATGAATGAATTGAAATGAATGAATTGAAATGAATGAATTGAAATGAATGAATTGAAATGAATGTATTGAAATGAATGAATTGAAATGAATGAATTGACATGAATGAATTGAAATGAATGAATTGAAATGAATGAATTGAAATGAATGAATTGAAATGAATGAATTGAAATGAATGAATTGAAATGAATGAATTGAAATGAATTGAATGGAATGGAATGGCATGGAATGGAATGGAATGAATGACTGACTGAATGAATGAATGAACGAACGAACGAACGAGCGAACGAAGGAAGGAATGAATGAATGAAGGAAGGAATGAATGACTGAATGAATGACTGAATGAATGAATGAATGAACGAACGAACGAACGAATGAATGAACGAAGGAACGAACGAAGGAACGAACGAAGGAACGAACGAAGGAACGAACGAAGGAACGAACGAACGAACGAAGGAACGAACGAAGGAAGGCATGAAGGAATGAAGGAATGAAGGAATGAAGGAATGAAGGAATGAAGGAATGAAGGAATGAAGGAATGAAGGAATGAAGGAATGAAGGAATGAAGGAATGAAGGAATGAAGGAATGAAGGAATGAAGGAGTGAAGGAGTGAAGGAGTGAAGGAGTGAAGGAGTGAATGAATGAATGAATGAATGAAGGAAGGAAGGAATGAATGAATGAAGGAATGAATGAATGAATGAATGAAGGAAGGAATGAATGAATGAAGGAAAGAAGGAAGGAAGGAATGAATGAATGAATAGTTAACGAGAAAAGGAGTGAATGAGTGAGTGAGTGAATGAATGAGTGAGTGAGAATGGGAGGGAGGTTAATCGGAGCGAATGGGAGCGAATGGGAGTGAATGGGAGTGAATGGGAGCGAATGGGTGAGTGAAGGAGTGAGGGAGCGAGTTCAAAAGTAAATGATTGAACGCATTGGTGGTTGCATGTCTGACTGGCTCACGGACTACCTGAGCTACTTCTAAGCCAAGTCTTCGCTAAGCCACCTCTTCAATGAGCCACGTCTTCACTCAGCCACCTCTGCGCAACAGTCTCGTACACACCTTCCGACCTTTTCAAACCGTGGCCCGACCGGTGAGACACGGATCTTTCTAACAAAATCGAGCTTCGCTACCTTGGCCCGCACGCAGAAACACAGACCCTCCCTTGGCAACACATGGAGCCACCATACTTGTAAAAGCGCACGCATTTGCGCACTTCCGTTGTTTCACCCGCAAATTCACAAGCTCTGGGACTGTTACTGCGACATACTGTATTAACTGTTTAACCTCCCAAATGCTTGACAGGCACTCGCCAAATGTGTTGGAATCCCGCTCCTCCTCTTGCTGATCGCAAGTCTCCTTGGTGTCAGCCAGGAGTTTGCTATCGTCCTGCGATGTTCAGACTTTCAGTCCAAGACTTGAAGCCTAACCTCGTTGCGAAGCCACTTGGACACCCAATCTAACACGGAATACATGACTAGTGACTAGTGACTAGTGCTAGACAAGCTCCTCCGTAACTTTCCTACAGCTGACACAGGAGAGCGATGAAAACATCAGGCCTGTCCTGAAGCTTTTTGGCACCTCAAGGGAACGTGAAAATGACACGCGCAAGGCACCTTACAAGCAGCTTTGAAACTGATTCATCAATCAAAAAACGGGGCGATCAAAAATGTTGTCCAAGGAACTACTGTCCATGGCTTGCTGCTTGTTCACCATGTCTACGCTGAGCTCCCCGATCCTGCAGACATTGCACTTCCCCGACTCTGGCCATGTCTTGCCGTGCGATTTCTTTGTACATCCGAAGATGTCCATGATGAGCATTTGAAAGGGAACAACAGACTCTCCATGTCAGGTGAGCTCAACTCCTGGAAGTTTTGACTTCTATCTCGGATGCCAAGGTAGATATCTGACCTTAGAACAAGCTGATAAGGAAAGGCTTTGATTGCCAGAAATTTCATGATCATGTCCCTGAGACTGCCTTGCTGTCTCCAGGAACTTCCACATTGTCAGCATGATTGGCATGTCACAGCATGTCTTCGCCGAAACGAAGCAGGGCCCGAGCTTCGCTTCGCCGTGGCCATGCCATCGAAGGCGCTCTTGGCTCCGGCTTCCCGACTTTCGGCTGAGCTCTGGTCCTGGCGAGGACACGGTGACGCACTTACTAAAACATCTCAAAGCCTGAAACTATGTGTTCTCAAATCTCAAATGTGTTGGTCACAGCAGAAGCTATAGAAACTCAAATCTCAAAACAAATAATCCAATTTGGTGTATATTGCAATTTGTTTAATGTGCTTTTCCATCCGTATGATGCATACTGGTACTCCATTCCTTGTGGATTTGATTGCGCAACAATGGGGCCCCATGCTGCGCCATGCGATGGAATTAAAACTAGCAAACTACAAGTGCGCGGTGTGGCCTCTTCCATGGAATCCCGCATGCTCCTCAGACTATGCAAAAAGTGGGGAAAGAGCTGAACATGCTGAACCCCTTCTATACAGCAACGTAATCGACTGACTTCCAGCAACATCATCGTCATCACGTCACAATATACCAAAATATCTCCAAGATCTCCAGTTGGCTGGTTCAGTATGTTATAGTATGTTGAGCCCAAGTCTCTGCAGAACCCCGACGATGCTGCTGCTCTGCGGCATCTCCCCGGCCAGCAGTGCTGCAAGGGCGTCCCGGTCCGAAAGCCTGTCACGTCTTGGTGAAGCGCTGCATGTGCATTGGTGGTACCACGATGTACCATGTTAAATTTAAATGTATATAATCCATTGAGTCTTTGAAAGATATGACATGATTCATGATGTGACCTCAGAAAGGAACCATAAACTCAGAAGGCTCAGTAGCCCGTTTAACGGTCCAAATAAGCTTTGGCAAGAACCTATCGTTGCAAATGAAAAGATCATCGCGTTGGGTGCTCTGTGTGTGTGTGTGTGTTCGAGGCCGTGCCAGTGTGTTCTTAGCAGGAAAACTCACCCACAGTGATTAGCGTTGTTCCATACTTTCCATGTACAGTACCAAGAATCTAAAGTCCCTCAAGAAGCACCGATCTTCCACTGCAAAAGATTTCATCTCTGGCACAGAACCGTGTTCAGTGTTCTGTCTGACCAAAGGTAACGAAAGCCGAGAACAAACTAGAAGCAAACCCAACTTTGGGTTAGGTCCCGACATATCCCGACATATCCCGACATTCCATGGTTGATATTCCGTCCTGTCGTGCAAAAAAGTGCTAAGAATGCCCAAAGCTCTCGCCTGAGGTTGGCAGTTGAAACTACCTGTCGCAGCTCCTCAGCCTCGTCGGTCTGCAAGAAGCTTCCTGCAGTCCACAGTCTGCGGAAAATGCGTTGTCTCCTTAGTCTCCTTTTCAAAGTTTTCAAAGTACCAATAATTCTGGCAACAGCTGCTCCAAGCGCAGCTTCACGCTCGGATGCAGCTGACAGTGGAGGAAGCGAGTAGTCTGCGAGGCTTGTCGAACTGTCCAAGTGGCTGATGAACAGCTGAAGAAGGGTCCAATTCCCAACAGGGATAAGACCATATGGATGCCATATGGATAGCATTGAGAATTTTCCACGTAGGTTCAAGGACAACCCAATGCATCCGATGCATGCAATCGGTTCAAGAGATGCCGTGGAATTTCGTGTCTCGAGTCCACAGCGTCCGCTGACACTGAGTCCGCTGAGCTCCTGAAAGGCCCTTCTCGATAGCAGCAATGGCTTTGCCAATGGCCGCAAGATTTTTTTGTGTCTCTTCCTGGCACACTGATCTGGACATGACCGAGGAGGTGAGTCTGCAGCCTTCAAAAATGTGATCATGATTGAAGCAGTGGGAATGAATGCATGTCTACGTTAATTGCTTGCCAATTGCTCTTGACATCTCTTGACAAAGTGACCATCTGCTGCCTATGACCCCTCCATCGAAACTTCCATTTGCATATCTTTCATCAACGCTCCCGATGTTGCAGTGAGGTCCTTGAGCTTTGTGTAGTCTGTTGCTTCCTTTTGCCTAAAGTCACGACAGTTTCAAAGGTGAATCATCAGCACATGACTGGCTAAACAAACAGGATAAAAGTGATCCAGTAAAATTGACCTGATTCATCCTTGTTCACTGTTTTAGCAGAACCCTATTCACAACCTGGGATACACAAAGGTGTTTAACTTCCAAACGTATGGAGACATCACAATTGTCAAGCCGATTCTAACCGTCTAACCGGGCGACCTGAGTTCTTCCGCTGAAGAGAGTGCTGTCTGTGCATCTGTGCGGTCAGCAACAGCACGTTCCTACCCGAGGGATGATGGATTTGGACGAGATTGGAGGCGCCTTCTTGTACTGATAGGAAATCTTCTCTGAAGTAATTTCCCGGGTTTGGACGAAAATCCCCTTCACTGCATATTTGCAGGACTCCGCCTTTAAAGTTCAATTGTCCCAACAGACCTCAAACATAAGTGAGGGAAGTTGTGAATGATTGATTTGCATCAAACTCTTACAAACGTAGCCAGTACGCAGCTCTTTTAGCTGGAGTTGCTGGAGCTACTGGAAACACTAGACTATAGAATTATCACGCCCTGCAGGGTTCCTTTGTTGGGTCTAACAAGGCACACTCTATAGCCCACATCCCAGCACTGCTCTTATGCTTTCAAGTACGGTGAGTTGACCAACAGGCAACTGCGTATTCTTGGAGCAAACATCTAATCTAGCGCGGATCTACCGCCAGAACTATGTGTAGCCTAGACTTAAAATTTGAAAAACAGTTGTTTTTCACATATCTTCACAAGTAATGTTTTGTGATGCTGGCCAAAAAGAATGTGAAGCAGCAATGCAGCTCAAAGAAATTTATGAAAAGTAAGGCTACTGTGGAGTTGCCCAAGCAGGGCCAGGAACAACAGGTGCAAGAAAGCAAGAGGGAAAGAAAGCATCGGGCCTGACTATGTTTCACTTGAACGGTTATATAAATTATATAAAAGTACCTAGCGCCACACTAGCGCAAATCTAGCGCCCTGACTATGTTTCACTTGAATGGCTATATCCGCCGACCCCGGCCGGCAGCAAGGGGGATGGCGCCAGGGAAAAAGATATTGCCCTCTCTAACAGCAACAACGATCACAACAACGACAACAAGGACAACAACGACAAGAACTACACCAGCAGCAGCAGCAGCAGCAGCAGCCAGCAGGCAGCAGCCAACAGCCAGCAGCCAGTACCCAGTTGCAATTAGTCACTTTTTGGGCGCAATTTTGATGTTTCTCCGTCTTTCACTGCCGTGGTGTTTTCCTTTCCAGGTTTCAGACACACATTAGGCAGTTTTTCGGTGCTGCTTTGTGGCTTATCTGTCCTTCCCTGGCATAGTGTTTCCTTGTCCGGGAGCCATGTTTTGGGCTGTCGTGTCTGGTTTTTGGCGCGTTTCTGCGCCGACGCTTGCCCACTGATGTGTTTTCAGTACTGTCCTGCAGCATTCTTATGTTTGGCTCGAATCCGTCCATGCGATTGTACAATCTGTGCAAGGCAGCAACAACACATGATGCGCAAGCTTGTCTGTGTGAGTTTTGTGCTTCTTTACTGAAAATTTTATTAATGAACTGAAAAGTGTGGCCTTTGGCTTCTTTTTCTAGGAATCCAGAAGCCACGTTCGACAGTTTTTGGCGTCATTTTGGGGTATGTTTTTGGAGCTTTTTGACTTGCCGTGCCACTGTGCTCTGTTGTTCAGCAGGGTTGCTACTGTAGAATCTGTGCGAGAAAGCTATTTCACTGGCACGGAGTTTCCGTGTCCGGGAGCCATGTTTTGGGCTGCCGTGTCTGCTTTTCGTCGTGATTTTTGCAACCGTGCTGGCAACGTCGCTTGTAGCTCCTTTAGAAGGGTCTCAGAGGAGACATTAGGGTCTTTTTCGGCGATTCTTTGTGGCTTCTCCGTCCTTCACTGGCATGGTGTTTCTCTGTCCGGGAGCCATGTTTTGGGCTGCCGTGTCTGCTTTTCGTCGTGTTTTTTTGCAACCGTGCTGGCAACGTCGCTTCTAGCTTTTCACTGGCATGGTGTTTCCCTGTCCGGGCGCCATGTTTTGGGCTGCCGTGTCTGCTTTATTTCAGCTGGTTTTTGCAGCCGTGCTGGCAATGTCTTTTCATGTCTTTTCTAGCTCTTTTTGAAAGGTCTCAGGAGGAGACATTAGGGTCTTTTTCAGCGCTTCTTTGTGGCTTCTCCATCCTTCACTGGCATGGTGTTTTTTCCCTGTCCGGGAGCCGTGTTTTGGGCTGCCGTGTCTACTTGCCGTCGTGTTTTTGGCAACCGTGCTGGCAATGTCGTTTCTAGCTCTTTTGGAAAAGTTTCAAGGGAGACGTTAGGGGCTTTTTCGGCGCTTCTTTGTGGCTTCTCCGTCCTTCACTGGCATAGGCGCGCCCCAAGCCGCCGACCCTCCGACCCCGGGCCCCGAAAACATGCGTCTCCAGAGGCTACCTTTTGACACATTTTTCGGACGATTTTTAACTTTTCGAAACTAACAAAATGCTGTAAATGACAGCATTTTTGCGGTTTAACGTCTTTTGCGAGAACAATGTAAAAATGCAGAATCTGCTGTAAATACCAATAGTTTTTATGACTAGAGATGCGCAAAACACTGCAAATACCAGTGTTTTTGGAAGCAAGGCAAAAAACACACTGTAAATTACATCATTTTTGGCAGGTTGATCGCTAAAAATGCTGGTATTTACACATTTTTTTAAATGTCAAGAAAACGTGGAAGGCACGAAACACTATAAATAGCGGTGTTTTGGCCACTTTTGGACGCTGAAACGCTAGTATTTACGCAGTTTTTTGCCTGTGACGGTTCCAACCCCCTGTAAATTACATCATGTTTTGCACTTTTCTGGTATTTCCGCGTTGTACCAAAAAATCGAAGATCGTGACGCGAACAACACCCTGTAAATAACAGTGTTTTATCAACTTTCAAGGACAAAAACTTTGGTATTTACGCGGGTTCTTGCCATCTGACAGCGCGAAATGCTGTAAATTACAACACTTTGTGCGCTGTTCATGTTCAATGTTTAAACGAGCGATGCTTTCACATGTTCTTGGCATTCTTCAACAAGAAACGACGTTGCAGATTGAAACTAGACGACAGTGCGGCCCGAAAGAAAGCTGGAGGGAGGAGACGAGAAGATAGCACACAAGAAAATATGATGATGAATGCTGCAGTTGAGGAGCTTTTACACAAACGGGTTTACACACAGAAGCTTTTACACACACACAGGGGCTTTTACACAGAGAAGTCTTTACACAGAGCGGCACTTAGACACAGAAGCTTTTACGCACAGAGGCTTTTACACAGAGAAGTCTTTATACAGACTGGCTTTTACACGCAGAAGCTTTTACACAAAGAGAAGTCTTTACACAGAGGACCTTTTACGCGCAGAAGCTTTTACACAGACAAGTCTTTACACTAAGGAGATTTTGCACACAAACGCGTTTACACAGAGGAGCTTTTACACACAGAAGCTTTTACACAGAGAAGTGATTACACAGAGAGCTTTTACACACAGACGCGTTTGCACACAAAAGTGTTTACACAGAGAAGCCTTTACACAGGAGCTTTTACACACAAGGGCGTTTACACACAGAAGCTGCTACACAGACGCTGTTACATTCACATGCTCTTGGCATTCTTCAACAAGAAACGACGTTGCAGATTGAAACTAGACGACAGTGCGGCCCGAAAGAAAGCTGGAGGGAGGAGGCGAGAAGATAGCACACATGCTGCTGGTGAGGAGCTTTTACACAAACGGGTTTACACACAGAAGCTTTTACGCACAGAAGCTTTTACACACACAGGGGCTTTTACACAGAGAAGTTTTTACACAGAGCGCTTCTTAGACACAGAAGCTTTTACACAGAGAAGTCTTTATACAGACTGGCTTTTGCACGCAGAAGCTTTTACACAGAGAGAAGTCTTTACACAGAGGAGCTTTTACGCACAGAAGCTTTTACACAGAGAAGTCTTTACACTAAAGAGATTTTGCACACAAACGCGTTTACACAGAGGAGCTTTTACACACAGAAGCTTTTACACAGAGAAGTGATTATACAGAGAGCCTTTACACACAGACGCGTTTGCACACAGAAGCGTTTACACAGAGAAGCCTTTACACAGGAGCTTTTACACACAGAAGCTGTTACACACAAACGCTTTTGCACAAAGAAGTCTTTACACAGAGAGCTTTAACACACAGGCGCGTTTACAGACAGAAACTTTTACACAAAGAAGTCTTTGCACAGAGAGAGAGCTTTTGCACACAGAAGCTTTCACACACAGAAGCTTTTACACAGAGAAGTCTTCGCACAGAGAAGCTTTTACACCCGGAAGCTTTTTCAGACAGAAGCTTTTACACAGAGAAGCCTTTACACAGAGGAGCTTTTACACACAAGCGCATTTACTCACAGAAGCTGTTACACACAGACGCTGTTACACAAAGAAGTCTTTACACAGAGAGCTTTAACACACAGGCACGTTGACACACAGAAACTTTCCCACAGAGAAGTCTTTACACAGAGAGCTTTTACACACGGAAGCTTTCACACACAGAAGTTTTTACACAGAGAAGCCTTGACACAGAGAATTTTTTACACAGAGACGTCTTTACACAGAGAAGCTTTCACACGCAGAAACTTTTACACGCAAAAGCTTTTACACAGAGAAGTCTTTACACAGAAAAGCTTTTACACGCAGAAGCTTTTACACACAGAAGCTTTTACACAGAGAAGTCTTTACACAGAGGCGCTTTTACACGAAGTGGAAAGTTGAAATTGGCAGCAATTCTTTAGGAAAAACCCTTCGCAGGAGCTTGCTCCAAGAAAAAGACCGCAGTTCCATGATTCCATGAATATGTTCAGAAAAAGCATAAGGAATATATTTCTGAAGCAGCAGATCCTCATTCAATATCTTTCAAGCCCACCCTGCGATGACATCGAGGGTCAAGTAATCCGGCGGAGCCGACGATGAGCGTCAGCTCTAAAATAAATTATATAAAAGTATCTAGCGCCAGACTAGCGCAAATCTAGCGCTAAGCTACAGGAAAGCGATTTCACTGCATATATACAGGACTCCGCTTTCTAACAGAATCTAAAACACATCCCTGCCCAAGTATTTATGTCCTTCGGATTTGAAATCTCTTTAATAGGGTATTGCAGTATTGCATTTCAATATGATATGACTGGCATATTCCAAATATGTCGATAAATGACGAAATGACTGTAGCAATGTGCAATTGCGGCAAATCTGTACCCGAAACGCTTCAGGACCATTCTGGCACCAGCCCTCCGCCTTCTCAGCCACAAGTCGAGCTTTCTGCGCTCCCAAGGCAGAATGGTCACTTCGAAGCATTGGCAGCCTCCACAAATCTCTAATATAAATCCGCGGAGAGTTTAGGAACAATTCAATACAATTCAATGTTTAGAAATGTTTAGAATGACTCTACAGTGACTCTACTAAAACTCTGGTGCCAGAACTGATCAGAACTGGCATGAGACGTTGCGACGCCAAACAATCGGACATCCAAAAAACTTCGCACTATGATGTAAGGCATGCCATGAAATGATACCACATTATGATCATTATGTCATGTTCAGTGGCGATGCCTGGTTTCTTCTTGCTCTATGTTCTTTTGCAAATTCGTGGTGGTCTTTTTGCAATTGCACTGCCTCAGACTTTGCCGGCGAACACAGGCATAGACGGCATAGATGCATGGCTTCAGTGGCTTCAGTTGGCAAGGAACTGGTGACTGGACAAGTCATGTAACAACTTATAGCGCATGTGGCACGATGTGGCACGATGTGGGACGATGTGGCACCATGTGGCACGTGTAGCACGCACTGTCAGCCAACTGCAAACCAAGTGACATTTTCTCCCAGAGCTTGGCTTCATCTGCGCCTTGTTTTTCCACCTTGTCCTGCAGGGCACTGCCGGGCACTGCGAATGGAATCCCGCGAAAATTTCAGCCAAAGCCCGCATAAGCAGAGATGTCTCGCATGTTTTCGCAGGACAATCTCATTCACACTTCCATACTTGCAAAAAAGACTCTTACCAATCCATGTGCTGTTTTTAGAGCGAGATTCTTCTAGGTTGGAAATGCCGTTGGTAAGCAAATGCCGCATCATGCAACTTCCACGGGCCAAACGCGTCTGACATGAGAATTATGAGACCTTGCTCCAAATAGCGAACAATGTTCCAACATGTTCCAACATGTTCCAACATGTTCCAAAACCCAAACATTCTCTGACAGTTCTCCGGTGCCTTCAAGCGCTCCAACAAATCAGTGACTCTTGTCACTGGATTTCTGTGCACCCTCACCCGCATGGCCAAGATTGGCATCAGCAGGGTGTGCAACACGAGCCATTTCAGCACTGGTGGCCTTGATTCTCAGAGTGTTGCAAGATGCTTGCCCCTTGTTGGAAGTGGAAAAGAATCAAATGTGTACTGCGCGTACTGCAAGGAATAAAGCACGTGCTTGACACAATCTAAGTCCATGGCCTGCACATGGCCTCAAAAGTGATCGTGCATGGCACTTTGGGAAGGGCGGGACAAAATGTTTAATTCATTTTAATTCAGAAATTTAGTCGAATTCAGTGATTCTGTGGGTAGAAACATACGCGGAGCAGATGACCAGTCTGGATAGTCAGGCCTCACAAAACCCTAGCAGCCTCCTACTTTCAAATTGAAAAAATCAATGAGAAACCGCATCTGTGCTCACACGTAGTGCTCAACAAAGATCATTTTGCATGTCCGCCCTGAAAACGACCAAGTCGTATATATATCCTGTTCGTCTACCATGGTTGTGCGGCACCTTCCGCTCGGTGGCGGCACCGCCGGCACGTCAACTACTTCATTGCTGAGCTGAGCCAGACGTACAATGGTCACAACATGTCACAACATGTTAAGGCGATGCACATCACCCAATGCGCTTCCATGCATCATTCGACGATGCATGGCACCCGCAGACCCACCAGCCAGTTCCAAGCCATGAAAAAATGAACAAAGTTTGCTGGCAGCAACTGGCATCAATCTTGTGATGGATTAGAATTATATGCCTCCAGTGGATTTCAATGCAAGAGCAAAGAGAAGTCGCTCAAGTGAATGGTGGGAATGGTAGGAGGCTGCAAGATCTGCAAGCGAAAGTTGCACAAGTCGCGATCATCTCCCTTTGAGCTCCGCAACTGCTTTCCAAGACATCCGCTAGACAAAGCCAGCGTGCTCTGCGTGGACATTGTGGACCCTTGCGGATTAACATCCGGTTCGAGGATCCACTCACTGCAGCTCCTGCACGAGGCAAAGGAAAACGGATTGACGACAAATTCAACATAGATGAGACATGATGACCTGATGATATGATGTGACAGAGATTCACTCTGACATACTCTGACTCATGCTCTGACTCATGCTGATTCACTCTGCGAAATTCCATTGTAGGCCTTAGTAGGCTTTGATTTCCTGTTTTTCGCAACTCCGAAGTCCTCCCAAACCTCTGGCCTATCTAGGCAACCTCCGCATCCTTGGCAATGAAGAACCTGAGCACAGCGATATTTCCAAGCATCAAAAAATGTCAAAACATGTCAAAACATGTTCAAGTAATCAAATATTTCTTATGTTTATCTTTCAAATAGTGCTATGTTACATAGTTGTGACAAATTGTCGATCGGACACTGAGCAGGCCAATGGACTTGGCTTCCTGGCGGGTCTTTGGCCAACGCGGCCAGTGCTTCATCGTCCAACGTCTCACGACAGAACTCACCGTCCTTGCCGCATGAAGCTGTAGATGCCACAGCTGAGTCACTCCCTGTTCGCGTTCGATCTTTACCAGAATCCTACTACAGTAGGTCCTAGAGGTGCATTATTTCGATGTGGCTTCAGTTCGCTTCGCAGTGAGTACCGTCGTAGTGGAATCCATTAAGACTGGCCCTTTGACCCCCTATAGGTTTAGAGCTCTTGGAACTGCTGAAATGGCGCACGGTAACACGTTGGCATGACTTGCCAGCAATGGTCCTCGCGGATGGCTACTATGAGATCCTTGAAATCGGCAAACTTGGCCCTGGCGACGTGACATCACGCGATTCCGAACATAAGGGCGTTTCAGGTACGCTCTTGGGGCAGTTTAATCTTGTCAGACTATGTCAGACTGAAATACTTTGAGAGTATGATGCACTCTTGTCCTGAACTAACTATCATCTGTATTGTATCTATCTGAGTCTATCTGTTCACTGGGCTAGCTTGACCACCTCCTGAACTCTCATTCTAGGTGGACCATCTGCAGATCATCTGCAACACCAGATCTCACAAACCCTACAATTTAGATCAACTTAGCAGAGGTTCTCCGGCCGAACAAAGCCACAAATGATGAGGCGCAACTCGCAGTCGTAGAAGTCGTCAGCCTTGGGTCAGAGTGCCAAAATTCTCTCCATTTGGCGAGAGTGGAATAAAGTCAATAAATCATTGATGTACAAGTGTTGGCTTTGGAAGTTCATCGGTTACTTTCTTTCCAGCTTTAGGTAAAACGAGAGTTTCGCCTTTGAAATTGTTCATTGTCGACACGGTGTCTTACTACAGTAGAGCTATAGAAATTGTTCAGCATCTAATTTTGAATGAGGTCCTTGCACAAGAGTTCGATTTTGTGTTTTGGTGCTGTGTCTTGGATTGTCAGATTTCCTGGCTCCAAAATAAAGCAAAGGACGAACGAAGTCCTGTGACAAGGAGGACAAAATGGTGATGAAAAATTACCTGCACAGTATTATCAGCTCAAGAGTGCCCAGGTCATATGTCGTACTTGTTGGATCTTGTTGGGATTTATGGGCTGGAAAGTCCAGAGTAAAGGAAATCATCTCCATAGGGTGCATTTGCCACAGCTCTGCATACAAGTCATACAAGTAGCCACATAGCCATGATCTTGCCCTAATCTTGTCACGCAATCTGTCCAAAGTGGACAACAAATCGAACTGACAAGCATACAAAAGCGATTCCAATCCCGACAAAACAAGCATTCGTGGCAATTCGCATCTTGAAGCCCTGCACGACCCTGCTAAGCAAGATTCAATACGGCAGTGTTGTTGTGTGGAGCTAGAATAGTTGTTTGTTGTTTGGTTTTTGTCTAGACTAGACAAAACAGTAGCGGCCACAGCATCAAAAAAAAGATTCGCAAGAATTCCTTGGAGAATTGCGGGAATGCCTCCTTTCTGAACCTTTCCCCAAAATCTCAGTTTGCAAAGTGTCCCTCCGTGTCCAAGGCCGTCCAAGGCACATAGTCATGCAGAATCCATGGCTCCATAGTTTTGGCCTCGCGTCACGAGAGGCAACATGAGTTCAACAAGATCCATGGATATCCATGGTCTCTAGGAAGCACCCGTCGATCCCTTAAGACGCTGGAGAAAGGTAGGAGGCTGTTCCCAGAAAGAACTCAACCTTTCACCCGTCCTGCCTGTGGTTCACACCACTTTGAAATGGCAAGCAAATCTGCTGATGCGGAGAAATTGAAAATTTGGAAATGATATAGATACAATTCTTTGTAGCATGGGACAAGTTCATTCAATCTCATCCCTAAATATTCCCAAATACCCAAGCTTGACCGAGCAATCCCAACAGCTTACCTTCACGTCCGGGAAGGTCGGATTCCACCCAACGCTCATCGCTGTCTGGGTCAGTGGCTCTATCGAAAGCATTTTGGGGTCAGGTGGGTCAGGTCTGGTAATACTTGAGACTAGACATGAATAGACTAATTGTACAATGTCATTGTGTACTGATACCAATCAATCAGGAAAAAGGTCTGATCACAGCTGGACGAATCTCGGTCACTGGCTTGTATCACTGATCACTCTTATATTGAATTCTTGGATGCAAAAAAAAACAGAATGCCGCGAATCTGCACAAAATTGTCCCATGTCCAAACCGATTCTCTTCAAACCCTAAGAAGCATCCCGTCCGTCACCTTGTAGATGCCTCGATCAGAACCTTTCACTGGAGCATCGCTGGTTAGGGCAAAAAACCCAAGCCGTTCAGAAAGTCCACTTGCAGCTATCAATAGACTTCAGGGTGTATTGTGATCCGAATTTGACTTGCATTCACCTGTCCTTCATTCAGAGATTTCAGAGTCCGTTTGGCGAGGTAGCCCCGCAATCAAGTTCAAAAGCAACAAAACTAAGCGCACATGTCAAAACATGATTCTGCAACTGCATAAAAAGAGGCTTCCGCGTTATAGTGCTCCCACTTACTCCGCCACTTTCTGACCATCTGAGCTGTGTGCCGTTGCTCACCTGTGCCCAGCCGTAGTAGATTCCTCGAATAGTCATGTAGTTTTAAAGTTTAAAGTCACAACGGCTTGTTCATGAATTCGTGAATCACTCTGAGTCGCTCTGTGTAGCATTTTGACTTGTTAGCATTGTGCAACAGATCCGAGGAAGATTGTTCGCTGCACAAGAAAGCAGGCCAGATCATCAAGTAGCAGCACTTTTCCGAAAGTTAAGTGGTTGGATGCCCTCAGGCTCGTCATTCAATCATGCAGATGCGCAAAGAAGGCACATATGAACATTTACCAACTACTGTACCATGCAGAATTTGAAAAGGAGCAAGAAGTATTGCATCTGCATTGCATCTGCAGCATTGCACTTTACCAGAGAGAGGATTTCACTGCAGTTGCCCTCATCATTGATCATGCTGTAGATGTAGAACAACATGCTTGGCAAAAGTGCTGTCTGGTTCTTCCAATTTTTTCTGCAGTAGTGACTCACTAGTGCGCACCAGCACAGGGCGGTGGTAGATGAAGGTGACCAGCAACGCGCCTGCTTCACAACTACGAGCAAAGTCGAGGACATCTTTCTCCTGCAGGAGCGGGAATCAACTTCTCAGCTTCATGCTTTTGGCAATGTAGCACACCTTGTCTCCCTGAACTGGAAGATTGATATTTTTGGGGACGTAGATCTTGATGAAGAAAACAGAACCGTGGAAATTCTTTTGCGCAGAGTGTATCCACCCTTTTGCTCCCGGCCAGGTGCCATCAGAGTGACCTGCGGCTCAAGCTTCTCGGGCGACTCAACCACATCCCATCCTACGCACAAGAAGAACACCAAGAAAAAAAGAAAAAAACTTCATTGGCGATGCATTGGCGATGCATTGGCGATGCATTGGCGATGCATTGGACACATCGGATGGATCACATTAATCATTGTCAAAGATTCGGCATGGACATGTCAGGACAGCCCCGCTAAATGTAAAGTAGCATGTACTGAGTGTACTGAGTGTACTGTCTAGAAACAGTCGCGCCGGTCGGTCACCAACGAATTCAGCCTCCCTAAAGCTCATCACCTGAAATGGATCAAGGCCTGAGACGGACCAGCTGAGTGACCGGCTGATTTTCATGTTGGCTGTGGGGAAGCCGAGCAATTTGCTGCCGCGACCTGGGCAGTCCACCGCATTCCACATAGTCATTCCACATACTCATTCCGCTCAATATACTTGACACGTACTAGATATAGATACATATAGCTAAACTAGATAACTGTAATGACTATAATTATATACATAGGTATAAACTTGCACACTATACGTCCCAAAGGCTCAGTACATGCAGTATACTCTCTCAATATCTCCAGACATCAGACACTGCCAGACACCCCAAAATCCCGAATGGCGACTCCTTTGACTTCCGAGGCACCAAAACCGTGCACCACTTTTGCGCACAAACGTGGCATTGGCTCCAGCGTCTGAAGAAAAGCGGAGCGGTCAAGTTTCAAGGACGGAATGATGTTGTAGTTGAATCAAATTGAATCAAATTGAATCAGATTGAATCAGATTGAGTCAGATTGAGTCAGATTGAGTCAGATTGACAGGCATTGGGAATAAGAACGGAAGAACCAAAGAACCGAAGAATCCTTCAGTTCTTTGTCCCTTCAGCCAGAAACGGTGATACTCAATCACTCTTCAGGTCCGAGGCAACAAGACTGTCTTTGCTACAGAGTACAGAACTGACAATCTCTTGAGTACTGAAACCGCAAAAGCCGCGAATGAAGCCAATATATGACAGTATGTGGTGACACAGTATGTGGTGACAAGAATACCTTTACCGTTTACCTGAAGAGACCTCGGCCCTTTATGTTTGTATAGAGAGAAAATGCCAGCCTTTCGCATACGCTCCACCTTTGAGTCCGTCAAGGCTGCCTGAAGCAATCTGCTGGCAAGTATTACTCTTGAAAAAAATGCCGATCATGATGATGGTATTGAAATGTATTGAATTTTGCTTCTCCTACACAGCGGTGTTTTATATAATATGTCTCAACAAACAGCTATGAGATCGGTTTCAGTCTCTGAGAGACTCCAGTAGGATAATGTAAACATGCGAATTGGGTGGAACTAGTCAGTCGGTGCCAAGACTACATGGCCCCTAGCACTAAATTAGAAAAAAACTGGGTATCACATGTACAATAAAACCGTTCAACCCATCTTCAACCCATGACACCTTTCCCTCAGCCATGGCTGCGCGGCGGAGAGCCAGCCACGGCGAAGGACAGCGGAAAATGGCGACGGACAGGCTTAGGCCCTGGAAGACCTTACTGCAAGAGCATGTCCAACATTCATCCTTCAGGCAGTTGTCAGCCTTTCGTATGAGTCTTTGCAAGTTCGGCGTTCAATCTTGCATACAGTAGTTGTTGCTACATAGACCAGGGCCAAATCGAACCTTGTATCGATACCCAGTTCGTGTCTGACACTCGAGCAAAAGGTTCTGCCCACGTATGTGAAGACAAATTTGGCACATGCCATGTGGCAACTTTGACGGGCAAAAAACTCTGCACCCAGGCCTACTTGGATATGAAAGAGTTCCCGAAAAAGTTCCCACATGTTCCCACCATCACCAAAAAGCGCAACCAAGTCTTTCCTGCCAAGAGAGCCTCTGGATGATCAATTCTCGCGGAAAAACTACCAAGACCGCCATTGTTCTAGGGTTTCCAAAGCAACGCTCTGCAAGTATCTTTGTAGACTGAAGCCTTGAAGAAAAGGAACAGTCGTAAAGTCTGCAGTCATCTTTTGCCTTTGAACCAGGTGAGCTTGCAGGTGCTGAAATTCTATCAACTTTCCTTGGAAAGTCCTCTGAAAGTCTCAGACTTTGTTGGTGCCACCAGTTGATGCTTGGATGTTGCGCATGATCTTCTTGAAGGCCCCCAGTGTGGCGACTACAAGGTTGAGCTCCGCAAGGATGACTCCAACACGATGTCTATCTGAACCATTTCGGTGTCATCTTCTCTCATGCGATGACAGTCTGTTGGTTTGTGTCGCTTCCTCCAACACCACCTTGGGACCACCATGGACACCATGTCGAGTACTGAACTCAAACGTCACCGTAGCCCAAAGACATCTGTAGCACCCTCCGGGCGCAGCTGTTGACCAAGGCTCTGCATCAGTGTTGACAAGCCATTCAGCCACCTGAGCTCCCTGTTGGTCAGTTGAAAGTCAAGGTCACCTTGGTCGGCGTTGAATTGCCAGACACATATTGACTTCAAGGCAAAAAAATATCATATCGCATAAAGCAGTCTTCTGAGGAATGGATCAAATATCTATAGGATCACAAGACAACAATGAATGACGAATTTTATTCGTGGCTAGCAGCTAGCAACTTTCTGAGCTCGAGCAGCCCACCGCAAAGACATGAAAAGACTGTTTTTTGTTGAACCAGCAGCACATGATATGTTGAACTTCAAGTTTTTCCACAAACATCTTGGTTGATGATGGTTGATACACTTGAGGCCAGGGGGAGGTACGAAAGCTAGCAGGGCTAGGGGTAGGGTGGTAATCATAAAGGGGGATTAGCAAGGTGAAGTCGGAATGCGGCAACGGGCTGTTGTAGGGTTGCAAAATCTATTGAGTCCAGCAAGCGAAAACCCCCCAATGCAGTAATCGTCTCTCGCCAAGTGTTGTAAGCAAAAGAAACGCAACAAAAAAAAATGGAAGCCCGAATCTGCATAAAGATGTTCGAGACAATGCAACCTATGTATGATGATGATAAGGATGATGATGAGGATGATAATGTTGTTGATGATGATGTTGTTGATGTTGATGTTGATGTGATGTTGATGTGATGTTGATGTGGATGTGGATGCTGCGGATGATGGGGATGATGGTGAGGAGGATGATGAGGATGATGAGGATGAGGATGAGGATGAGGATGATGATGATGATGATGACGATGATGATGACGATGACGATGACGATGATGATGATGCTGATGATGACGACGAGGAGGAGCAGGAGGAAGAAGATAACTATGATAATTTGGAAGCCGGCAAGTTTCCGATGATGATTTTATAGAGTTGTTGGTTGGTTTACTGAACATGACGTCCTGAAGATGAAATACTGAAGAGGACGACCCTATACCTGCAGGAAACCAATGGCCCAGCGGGACCAGGGCATGAGGATGCTGATCAACGACGAGGAGGACGAAGAGGATGATGAGGATGAGAATGAGGATGAGGATGAGGATGAGGATGATGATGATGATGATGATGATGATGATGTTGATGTTGATGTTGATGTTGATGTGATGTTGATGTTGATGTGGATGCTGCGGATGATGGGGATGATGGGGATGATGATGAGGATGATGATGAGGATGAGGATGAGAATGAGGATGAGGATGAGGAGGGTGAGGATGAAGATGAAAATGAAGATGAAGATGATGACCCTCTACCAGCCGGAAATCTACTCTCGGGGGGGGGCTCGCGGGGGACCAGGGGAGATCGAACCTGGGCCTGCCAGGGGGGGGTCTAAGTGGAAAGTTTGAGGGTTTCCAATGGTCCTGCTCCCTGCCTATTCCTTGCTAAAGCAAGAGCAACTTCAGCTAGCACAGCTAGCTTTCGTGACTTGACACTGCCCATCATCTGTTGTCTCCATTGCCAGCCATGGCACGATTCTCGAGAATGTGCTGCACTGACCGACTTCGTGGCAACACAGCTACACTTTGCTGCACGAGCCAACGGAGGAGCACCTGAACCGATCAGCACCCAGTGCGCAACGTGGCAACTCGGCAGAATTTTGTACCCGCAAATTCTGAACAAGCAAAATAAGCAAATTTAGTAGCTGACTCTCCTCATTTTAGGGAGCGGTTGTCCAGCAAGGGTAAGGTGCAGTTGACAATAGTGTGAGAGCAAACACACCCACACTTTGTATCTCCATGTTTCACTCGGCCAAGACTGTGAAGTCTTTTACACCCAATACTTCTTCAGAGAATCACAGCACACTGCTTCTTCCTGTGAGTCCTCTTACTTTGGGATCAGCTTAAATGAGATTGATTAGATACTCCGCTAAAGTGTGGGCATCTCTCGGGGCTTTGATTGCAGTCGCGAAGAGATCCGAAAAAAAAAATGTATATTATATTATATTATATATATACATATATACTACGTCCTGCAGTAGTACTACAGACAACAGTGTGGCTGCTGCGCTCTGCTGTACTCAGCCAGGCCTGTGCGGCTGTGCGCCCATGGCCAGCAGCAATGCGCTGGACGTGTGGGTCCTAGAGCAGGAGAGCAAACTCCCCATTTTCCCTTTCCTGAGCTTCCGAAGCAAGATTCAAGGAGTTTCAAGGGGAGATGCGAAAATCCCGTCTATTCTATTCCGTCTATCACCGTCCATCCTTCAAATCAGCTCAGTGCTGAGACGCATTGGCACCCGTCCTCCATGGGATTCAGGTTGGCCGTTGCATTCGGATTCAGCGAGGCTGCTGCAACCACCAGGATCTTCTCTGAACGAAGCCAACGTAGAAACACGGGACTTGGAGGTTCGTAGATGGAAAACTGAATCCTCAGTGGCTGATTTTGGCATCGTCCCAAAACTCTCCTCACTTATCCTGCCGAGAAACTTGGTGCCTCTACGCCTATGCAACTGTGGGAAGTAACAAGAAAAGCAGTCTAGAAAATAGTGAATCTTTTGTGGTTATCATGGCAGTTTCGGCCTTGAAAGCACCTCTTGGCACCTGGATGTAAGCAGGATATGACAGACAGCTAACATCCTTCAACACCGCTCGCAGTTACTCCGAGCTTCTGCAAGGCCACAGGTTTCACCTTGCCCCGGTCCATGATCTGCTGAATTTCCTTGCATCGGAGGTGCAAGCGATATGAGCAACGATGCAACAGTGGTGCAACCATGTGCAACGGATCACTTGTGTCATTCGTTGCTTGGCCTGGCATTGAAGGTACCAAACCCCAGAAACACTTGGCTGTGCGTCATTTGCTGAAAATTGACATGTCAGCGCAAAGCACAACGTCACAGCTCAAAAGGCATTTTGTGTCAGTTCGGTCAAAAGGGGGGAGCACGCAGTGAATCAGTGAAGTAGCTGAATGCTGAATTGAAGGAAAGCAGAACGGCCAAGCCAGGCAAAAGTTGAGACAAGAGCCACGCCTCCGCGTCCCACGTTCCAAAAATCACTGAAACATACTGAAACATACTGAAACCGAGGTAAGATCGAGGGGTGATAAGCTCCACCAACGTTGCTCTACGCCGTTTGCTATAAACTCGCAGGTTTCGCAGGTTTCGCACGCTTCGCAAGTTGCTTTTGATACTTCTGGATGTTTTTTGATGTCTTTTGATGTCTGTTTGATGTCTTTTGCTTTGCCAGCCAAGCGTCACTCTGCTGGAAGTTGCTAAGCCCCAGGGACTTGCAACGCTGTTCTGAATGCAGCCTTTCCAGTGCTCGCCACCCAGGAAGGTTCTGGTTACTGGGGAAGTGGAGATAGCCTCAGAACATCTCAAAGTACAGTATCATCAGAAGGTCGTACATGTCAAAATCGCGTTTCAAGTTGATGAATTTTACCTTCAGAAATGACGAAGTTTCAATCCAACTGGGTCTCGCAGCAGGTTTCTTTCACATTGAATCAAAAAAAGTCAAAGCCTTTCAAAGCCTTTCAAAGCAGTCAAAGCACAAAGTTCTGCGTAACCACCCAAGCTCTCCAGCTCCTTCGCCAAGATCCGATAGGAGACCTCCTGCACTTTGCATCACTTTGCTCTGGCATGTCTGGGCTACATGTGCCATTTGAGGATTTCATTTCCAAAAGACATCGTGAAGACATGGTGAAGATACAAAGAGAACAAAAAATGTTCCTAAGACCGACTAAGACCTCTCAGCACACCGATTTATCAAAGCAAAGGCCACAGGCGGCCACAGGCGGCCACAGGTACCCAAAGCTCGCCTCATCAAAGCCCGTGGAAGACAATTTGGTTGCGACAAAGATCTGTTCACGAGGCACCTGCTTGGCATTGGACGCTTGAGCAAGGAACTGTTTCGAACTGTTTCCATGGCCAACCTCAGTTGGCCTGCAAAAAAAAATAATGTTTTTGCTGGTTAGTATATATATATATATACCCGATTACATTTGTGGCTTATCTTTTTCTCCGATCACTGTGCAAGAGGAATTCTTCAGGAGTTGTGGGGGCCTAATGTTTTAATTTGCAACGCCAAAAGAAACCAATTCAACAATCCGTTCAATCAAAACAGTTATGCTCCGCCATGGCATGGACTGCGCTGCTATCGCCTTGTTGTGCTGTGTGGCCACTGAACCCGCCAAGCCTTGCTGTCCTGAACTGCTTGAGCGATACTCGCTGCATTTTGATACCCTTCCGCCTTAGATTTGGCAAACTGAAACCGTTTTAGTGGAGCAGATATCCACGATAAACCACAACAACAATTGGGCCTCTCTTTTTTGTCTTTTTCTGTGTTGTTGCTTCAAGAGCAACACGAGGTGACAAGCTCCTCCTGTATCCCTCTATGACGTTGTGCAAACGAGCCCGCCATCAATCCAAGATATCTTTAGTGCATTGTTTTAGACAGAGAAATGTGTACACTCCATGTAAGAGTACATAGATATATGTCAACAAGTCGCGTCAAGTCGCATTTATCAGCATCTTGGACCTCTCATGACTTCAAACCTGAGTGTCCCACAGTGTCGATGTGACGGACACCTGCCTCAAAGGACCAAGCGCGATTCATGGGAGTCAAACAGAATCAGAAGCAATTTATTCTAATTCCAGTCAGACCACCACAGAGGAAAAACCTTTCTTTCTGTACGCCCGCTAAGGTAAGAAATGGTAAGAAACACTGACCAATACCGATACGACATGATACGACACCGAAAAAAGGAAGCAACCTGCGACAGGACCTGGGAAATCTTGGACTTGGCAGGGCCTCTAGGGCAGCCCGCACAGCTGTATAGCAATCCATCCTGATGCCATGAGAACAAACGTCTGGATGTCAGAACTGCAATCTTAGGACACTTGACATTTGAATGTATTTGAACAATCATGAGGTTCAGAACTACTGCAAAATACTCCAGGTGAAAATCTGGCTTTCGAGTCCAAAAATCAAGACCTCATTGCTTTGAGCGAGGTTTTCAAGAAAGGATTCTTTGGTGTGAATCTTCCAGCTCTTGCCAAAATGTAGTGAATACATTCATTTCACACGTGACCATGTGCCCAGCCGACCCTTATGTGTAGGCACCGGACCCATTCAGCTCGTGGGTTCCAAAACCAACCAAAGGTATCGGATGAATTCCTACAGCAGATCGGAAGAAAAGAAAAAGTCGAGCAGTCGAGCATACACATACCAAAAGCGAAGCACAATCGTTGCATACTGGCTTCATTCTCTCAAAGTTGATGTGTATATAGACACGTGTCTATACATGCACGAAAAATAAAATCCGTGCAGGTTTGGTGTCAAGTAGATATAATTATACGGTAGTATTTATATACAATATTGTATATCTACATATATATATATACACAGACACATGCATATCAAAAATGAAATATAAATGAATATTATAATTATATAATATATATATTCAAAGACGTAGACAAACAATGACAAACATGGAAGCGGATATTGCACCGGTGCTTCATGGTTCTTATATAGAGCATGTGAGTGTGGTGTGTCGCAGCTTTGACTCATCTACTCCGTCCTCAATCAACTCCTCCCAGCGACTTTACATTATTTCAAACAGGGCGAATTTAGACCTTGTGTCGCCCCAGCACTACTTGACAGTTATATAATTTCACTTGATTTCAAAATAAGTTAAATAAGAGGTCAAAGATTCGATCAATAGAATTCTTCCAGAACTTAAACTAGCTATGTCTAGTCTAGCTGTTTCAAATTTCTCCAACGGTAGTATCTCTGTCAGGTTAAAGATTGGCCGATTCAAAGTCTCGCAATGCCAAGAAGGACAGTCTTGATCCCAGCCTTGTGGGGGTGCCGCTGTTGTGGACATCATGGACTGCAAGGGGGTTGTTGCCGTGAGGAGTCAATCTGCTTGGGGGACGCCACGGGACTTTCAACTCTCACACTGGCGAAAGCTCTAGCTACAGCTCTTGTCACGTGTCATTTCATTATCCTTTCGCATATTTCCGTTCCGTTTGAAACAAAAGGAGAACAGCAAAATACACCAAGAACAACCCAAGAACAACCCTGCTTCAAATCTTGTGATTTCCTAGTGCCCCAACTCCCAACCCAAAAGACAAAGGAAGAGAGCCGCCTCTTGACCTGGTAGTTGAACCGGACCTCAGGCACCACTGGAGTCTGTCAATCCAAAAGTCAAATCAAAACCCAACCGTTAACTAACTCAGTGACCCAACTCAGTGACACGCAGTGACCCAACTCACAAAGCCAAAGCCAAAGCCAAAGCGGTTGAAGCCGAAGTCATTGGAGTCGAACAAAGGGGGCAGCTGGGCCAACTGCAGCTATTGGGCATCTCCTGGTCGAGCAAAAATGTGGTGCGGCTGGAAACCGCCTCAGCTGATTTGACAAATTCAATATGAGCACTTGAGGCCACAGGGAAGGGGACGAAAGCTAGTTGGGCAAGGAGAGATATGTATTTAGAGAATATGTGGCGCGGCCTTTTGAGCGTCAGTTTTTGAAAGGAAATAAGCTACCATTCGACGTTGCTGACACGCGAACAGCAGCGTATCATGATATTCTCGCTCGCATGCACCATAATCGTTCCACAACCTTCCCCCTGACATCCTAACATATCAGCGTCAACATTACGCTCCTGGAACTCTACTTGCCAAGTACAAACTGCCCCAACCGAGCGCGCGTCGGTTGAGCCACTTTGCAACCATCTGATTGAGCCTCTTTCTCTCGGCCTTTCCTTCCTTGTTCCTGTCCGTGAAATATTACTATATACATAGTCTACGATGAATATATCTAAGTATCATAAAATATCTGTATGTGTATGTATATATTATATATTATACAAATAACCCAGCCTTAGAATCTGGTGACTTTGGTGCATACCTCAATCGAGCAAGAAATGCTTGGGAACCCCAACATGCGCATCTTCCATTCCTCCCCAAGGCTGGGTCATGTTCTCACTAAGACCTCCTCAAAAAATGGAGTGCAAGACTCCAAGTGGTTGTTCTCTCATTACACTACATTACATTACATTAGATTACAGTACATTGCATTACATCACGTCACATCACGTTGCATTACATTTGATTGAAGTGGGTTACATTACAGTAGGTTACGTCACAGGTTGCATTTCAGATTAGATTCCATTACGTTGGATTACATTACATTAGACTAGATTGCATTACATTGCATTGCATTACATTGCGTTACATTCACAACGCTCACGAACGCGTGGTCACAGATGAAACCCAGCGGGATTGACGGGGGTTGAGCTCAAGGGGAGGGTGGGGGGGTCACCCCAATTCATTGCTAAATCAAACCCGGCTCCAGCTAGAAAGCTAGCTTTCGTGATTTATGGATCTCTATGGATCTTTCAAGTCTCTCATATCTGCTTAGTGCTTGCACAGGCCACATGCAGAGCCGTTTGTTTTGCATTGCACAAGCCAATGTCCTACGAATTGACCTCAGATCGTCAGATTGTCAGATTGCGATGCAAATTGTGCCGAGGCCGCGTCCAGGATCATCTCTTCCGCCCCCTGAGGACCATCAAATTAGCCTATTTGAAGCATACCCTTTGGAAATCCTTTGGATCCTTATCAATCATGATGAATCATTTTGATCTGTGTTGTTTTGGGCTCTGCAAGCTTTGCATGAAAAACCTGATGAGAAGCGTACCTCAAAAGAACATGCGCAACATGTGAAGTGGTAAGCCCACAAGCAACATGAAACCCACCACCAAATAGCCACTGCCCCTGACGCAACCCCAGTTGCAGGCCGAAGGACAGGGACACGACCGCGCAAGGCTTGCTGTGCGGCATCCAGCTCAGTCACAAGAGGGCTCAGGTCCAACCTGTCACCTGCAAGGCATCAAATTCAGCTGTGACGGGGCTGTGACGGGGCTGTGACGAAGCCGTCACGGAGCTGTTGATACCAGATTTTACATAGGTTTTGCGGTTTCAAGGAGTGCAGTGCTGGCGATCTTTATTCAAAGTGTGAGAGCATGCCAACCTGCAGGTGCACAGCGGATGGCCAATCGAGCGTTGCTGTACCTGCAGCAAGTCCGCTGACTGATTGGTTGGTCGACTGAGCTCACAAAAACTTCAATACAGCACTGCTCCGTCGTATGTCCATCGGCACGCATAGCGAGTAAGCAGAGCCACCAGCACTGGCGGTTCGGAGCCTGCCGGGGTCAGCTCAGTCAGCTCTGAATTTGACACAGCATGACTCACGGCATGACGCAGCTGACAATCAGTGGCCAGTCGTCTGATCAGTTGTCCACTGAAGCAACTCGTGAACCAACGCCGAAGCAATGAGAGTACTTCCCTGACGCTGCAACACCTTTCCATTCTAGCTAAAACTCCTCTTTTGACATGGATCAAATTCGCACCAGCAGGCAGAATTTACACCAAAGTCATCAACTTAAGAAATAAGAATCTTTCAGAGAGCACGTATTGGGACTGGATTCTGATTGCGGAAGAAGCGTTCACTTGTGGTCACTTGCGGTCACTTCACTTGCGGTCACTTCACTTGCGGTCACTTGCGGTCACTTCACTTGCAGTCACTTGTGGACACTTGCGAAACTGGTTTACTCTGTGCCGCTTCCTGTCTGCTCTGGCTCCCTTCTTGATTTGCTTATATAAACTAGTGACTTCGTCGTGATCACCTTCAGAAAAAAATGTTTGTCTTCGGTTAATGAGATCCTCAAGTACCTCTGGAGATGATATCTTTTTTGCTTCGCGAGTCCGCTTTAGAAAGAGATTGGTTTGCAGCACTCGAAATGACATCGTTGAACCTCTTCCATGGTTCCGCTGCGTGTGATGTCAATGCAAAAAAAAAAACTAGACACAGACTCATTATATCGTTGCCACTGGGTTAGATTTGGTTTCAAAATCTTGGGGGTAGAAAGGCGGGGCTGTGATGTGGCAGCCAATTTTATCCTGATTTTCATCTCAACGATATAATAACGGTCTGTGTTAAGATACAAATCTGTAACGGCTCTGTACATCTGTACACTGATTTCGATGTTTCTGTCTAGTGAGGAAAAAATCAAGCTGCGCATCATTTTCAGCAGTGTAATGAGCACACCCAATAGGTGTGGTATTTTCTCTGAATGCTGCTTGTTTTGCCGGGGGTTTATGGAAATCAGTATTGAGAATGCGTCAGGAATTGGCAATGCAAAAATCCACGAACAGGTCCCTGTTTTCCTTGGTCGCCTGTGCTAAACCTTCTAAATACGTTCTGCCTCTTCCAAAAATGTGGGGCCCCATAACTTCAGATTCACTAGCATATTTATATTGTAATCTAGCATTAAGATCTCCCCCTGTGTACACGGCCTCGTTGCACACATTTCAAAGTTCCTGTACGGAGTCATAAAAGGCCTCTTTCAAATCAGTCGCATGCCCCCTGTGTGGTGTGTAGCAGCACAGAAAGGCCAAGCTGATCCCTTGCGATCTCAGCCGTATTGCCATTACCCTTCCACTAATTTGCTTCACTTCATAAAGATATGGTTTGTACCCGTTATGGACAACTATAGCAACTCCTGCATGTTCTCTATCAGATTTGCCTGGTTGGACATCACTACTGAACAAAACAAATAATCATCATGCGTTTCAACACTGGATGCATTCACTTGAGTCTCAGTTAGCAAGAGTATATCCAACCCCTCATCTTTCATGATCTTGGTAATCAGCTGTCGTTTAGTGATTCCGTTTTCCCCGTTCAACCCTCTGATGTTCAGCGTGGCTACTTTGAGGCGCGTCTTGTAGGGTAATTCGTGCCCTCTGCTCTTATGAGTTTTCTGCATTGGGTCCAAATCATCAGCAAACTTTTTTCGGAAGTCTTTAAAGGCTTTTTTCACTACAACAGACTCTTCCCGTTTCTGCCAAGCTTCCTGAGCCCTCCCGCGCTTTTTCCGCTTCCCATGCACCCGCTTAAAGTATCTCCATAATCTACGTCTTCTTGAACTCTTTTGGTTCCCTCTGTGTTGTCTACCATTCTTATTAAGGGGAGCATATTCGTGGGAAGCTTTTGGGGGGTATTTGCTCTTTGCGGACGAAGTTCCGCAAAGGTCCCGGCACCTCTTGACGGTACCGTTCACAATTTCCATGTGAAGACTTGACTCCATTGGCCCCACAATTTCGAGTTTGTAAAGGATGTGTTCTCAAGTTGCTTTTGTTAAGTCTAATGGCCTCTGCGGGATATAGCTCTCTCTGCCCTAAATCTTTCAGATCTAGCTTCCTTTGACCTAATTCCTTCTTGCCTAGTTCCTTCTTGCCTACTTGCTTTGTTTCTATTTCCATCGGAACGGACGGGGCTTCCTCTTTTGGGGAGCCTAGTCAAGTTGCATGCATCTGGTCATCATTTCCAGCATGTTCACCCCATTTGGCTTCTCTCATGGTGTAATACTCTTCGTTGCCCCTGAGCGTCGCGAACTTGAGCATGTAGGCGTATTGGCTATAGTTGGGGTACTTGGTTTTGCTGTTGGCTTCTGCCCATCCTTTCGACCATCCGTTGTTGACGATGTCAAAGTAGTTTTGGTGAATGTGGAGGTACATGTACTTCGGGTCCTCTTTATCTCTGACCAATTCAAAGATCACGGCGTTGTGATGCGAACTGCCAGTTTGTCTTGCCACTTCGCAGATACCTTGTTCCACGAGTTGGCTAAGTCGCTGTCAGGGTTCTTGGTCACAATGTGCAGGGCGGCCTGGATCGTCAGGTTGATGTCTCTTTCCATGTCGCTGGTTTGTGGCATGAAGCTAATTCGATGTGGTTGGTTGCCAAAGTATACTGTGTAATTGCTCTTGTCCCAAATTGTGACCGGATTGCGTTTGTTGTATCGCTTGTAGATGTAATTCTCAAAGGTGTGTTTTGCCCACTCGCTTTCCCAGCGTATGATGGTGACAGGGGAAGGTTTGTACCTTCCATACATGTAGCGTCTATGTGTGGTGGCGAACTGATTGGCAACTCCAGCTTTCTGAGTATACCAACTGATGACCGCATCTCTCTCTCTCTCTCTCTGCATCTGTGAACTCCTTCGGCCATCCTTTCGCTGCTGTTTGTTTTGCAGCTTCTCTCTTTTGTTGGGTGAACAGTGTTTCATGCACGTGCTGCGTTAGGATGTCCACATCTTGTATGTTGTGCGTTAGGTCTGTGGTTTGTTTCAACAACTCCTCAACACTTTGTTGGAGATTCATCATCTGCTGCTGCATCTCTTGTATGTATGGTGGTTGTTCTGGGTTGGCCATAGTTTGTTGCATTTTTTTCCATGGTCTGTTTTGCCTGTTGAAATTGGAGTTCCAAGTGCTTGCTGATCTCCTCTACTTCAGCTGGGCTGGATGATGGCTTTTTGGCGATCTGTGGTGTTGATGCTTGCATCGATCTTTCTTCTTTAGATGCCAGCTGTTGCTTCCATCTGGGTTCTTTGCATGTTTGGTGTTCTTTGCTGTAGAAGGTGACATACGATGAGCTCGCTTCTGCGGGGAAGAGTACTCTTCTAGGGTGCGCCTCTTCTGTAGCTTCTTCTCTTGTCTTCTTCTGTTATCTTCTCTGGGAAATCGGTGTCTTGTCTTCATTCTGTCTTTTCTTCGACTCGTCCAGCTCCATCTCTGACTCCTTTCCCCTTAGTTTTCCAAATTTAAATGTCCTTTCGTCTTGAAGCCTCCTCCTTGGCTTCAAGTCTTTCCTTTCTTGGTTCAGGTCCTGCCTCTTTCGTTTCAAGTCACCCCTTTTCCTTTCAACGTCTGTGTTTCGTTTCAGCCCGGAAATTGCGGATTATTTTTCGTGAGCCGGCGCGAAAAATGTGGAAAAATTACCGTGACCACAGCATGCGGTCACTTCCGGTCACTTGCAGTCTGTTGCTGCCACTCGATTGATTTGCGGCCATTCTCGAGTGGACTCCTTTTTCGAAAATCGATTTCCGTACTTCCTGCGTGTTCAGTGAAATGCTTGGAATCCCATCCAATCCCGTATTCACCAAGTTCACACATTAGTTCACCGGCCTGCAGTTTGGAGGCTCCGGGCTGCGAACTTCGCCGCATCACCAAAAGGCACTGAAACAGCGGTAGCCTGCGCGGCGCGCTGCAGGGCATTCCACGGGGCATGCCACGGGGCATGCCACGGGGCATGCCACGGGGCATGCCCCGCTTGAAGCATGTCACTCTGTCGTATCCACGTAGATATCGTAGATTGATTAAACCCAAGCAGCCCAAGCATGTTCTAACTCAATTTGCTGCCGTGGGGTGCAAGAGCCAAGGTCTTTGATTTGCATCTATATCTTCCAACGAACGCGCAAAGCAAATTTTACACGGCTTCAACTTTCTTCAGCTCTCTTCAGATCTCTTCAGCTCTCTTTGCCTCCTTGGCAATCCACTGAAACCACCAAAATCCTTCGCCGAAGTTCAAAGTGAAGCCTGCCACAAGAGGGGCGTCTTTACTTGTTCTAATTCCAAAGGACTATGTCACTATGTTAGGAGTGGTCAAGCAAGTCTGCTGAAAATCCCAGGAATTAAACTGTCAATGTAATTTTCCACGGTAGTGCATTGTCGTATCCATTTTGGAATGATCCTTGATATCACACGATACGTTTTGAGAAGGATCCAATTTTGCTTTTTTGTATTAAGTCACTGTTAAGTCTGCCAGACCTGCAGGCAAGTTGGGGGCTTGCAGCTGCACTCCCAGCACAATCCCGGAGCTGTTCAAAGCCAAAGCCATGCCATGCCAGGACTTGTCTGGCGTGGAGAAGTTGGACAAGAAATATCCAGGGCATGTTCATCTGAGATCATTTGAACGCATCCCAAAGTTTCTAAGGGTCATTCTGTGAAGTACACACATATTGCATGAGAACTCTTTACAGCTGTCTGACAGCTGTCACAGCTTGACAATCTTTGAGCACCACAAAGATGGCCTGTGAAAAGCCAACGCTGCCCTTTCATGTGTAGCAAAGTTTCTGCCCTTTCCTGCACAGGGCCAGTTGCAGGAACTTATTGAAAGGTCGGAGTCAATGAGTCTCCGATGGCTTATAACTATAACTTATACTTGAAAGAAGTGCTGTGCCTTTGGAAATACCGCTTACTATATGAAGTCAATCAACAGCCGACAGTGCTCACATGGCAGAATCCATGGGTGCCACTGTTTTCCTTAAACACACTAGACATCACTAGACAGCACTAGACATCACTCGACCACAGTCATCCATCATCCAGAATCATCCAGAGGCAAGTGCGGTCCAGCACCAGAGCATCCACACTATTGGGCTCAAAGGCATCCCAAAGCTGTGATGACTGGACCAACAAAAGCCGCGAGGCATCACTTGAGCGTTCCCTGCAGTGCAGCTTTCCAAGTCAAATTCCTCTATAAAGCCTATGTGTATATATATATACAGTATACAGTACAAGGAAAGAAAAAAGCAGAAAACACCCTAGTAGTGTGGCGTGTGTGTAGCATTTTGTATCTCGAAACAATCCGAGTTTTGCCAAGCTGCAGCTTCTCATTCAAGCGCCGAGCCAAGCTGTCACAGTTGTCACAGGCACAGGCACATTGTCGCACATGTTGCAGAACTCTTGGCGCTGAAGCAGTAAGTGCCTCCACTGGTCCTGCAGTGGTGGCTAGTGTTTTGCCAGTGCAAGACGTTTCAGTGGGCAAAAATGGAATCTGCCACCCTGATATGTTGTTATGCAGCAGCCGCACATCCCACTTGCACCGCGTTTTCGTCAAAATGCTAAAGGTTTGGGAAGCAGAAACACTTCCAAGTCCGACGCTGGAGTTGAAAAAGTCTCCCAATGTCAGACCTCATCAATATCAAACAATTTTTTGGTTGACAACCTCTTGTTGTGGTGAAAAATGCATCTAGGGCCTGTCTGTGTTCAGGTCCTAGACTTTAACCTTTAGTTCTTTTGCTGTTGAGCATTCCAACCATTCCATTCATTCCACATTTCTCTGCAGTCTCTGCCCTTTTCTCCCCTCGCCGTCTGCCATTCATGGGTCGTCTTTCTTTCCCAATCGGCCGAAGGAGAAGGACATGCCGGCACCCACCACCTGGGCTCGGCAGTCGACACATGGCGAGCACGGCCACAATGGCCATGGAAAACTTTTCGTTGGAATATGTTGGAATGGATAGAGTCCGATAGAGCATCAATCTATTCCAGTCTATTGCACATTATTGCACATTATTGCATACTATTCCAATCTATTCCATATTATGTCCATATTATTGCAATTGGTATACAATGCGAATACGGATGCCAGCACATGTTTACAATTGTTTACAGTCTATGTTTACAGCAGATGTGGTCGCATCTCGACATCGCTATGCCTTTGGTTGAAGGACAAGCTGCGAAGGCTCCGGCGATGGCATTGCCAATGGTCACAGGGATCAAGTTCTTCACCAAAATATCGCCCCAGCTCAGTGGTGCACCTGACAAAAACATACAAAAACAGCATTCTCTGCAGCACAGCTAGACTCATTAGACATTTCACTTGACTCGTAATTTTGCCCATCTTGCAAACATTTGCAAACGAGCTGGCCTGAAAACAGTCCTGCTGGCAGGATGAACATGTTTGCCACGGAGTGCTCGAAGCCAATGGCGATGAACATCGAAATGGGGAACCAAACTCCCACCATTTTGCCAGAGAGGTCCTTCCATGCCCAATGCAGGGAAAGATGAGCTGCACAGTTGATACCTGAGGCCTGAAAATTGATCTCGATACCAAACTACGATTCCCATCCAACATCTAAATGTTCATGTGCCACTTGTGAATTGAATTAGAGACTCGTTGCATCCCAAAAACAGTCCTTCGCCATGGTGCACAACCACACTGCCATGCACACCAGCCAGTTGCACATGATGCCTTTTACCTCGGTGTTGCAATGGAACTCACAGAATTGTATTCCAAATGCGTTTCCTGAAGCTATTTCTGTCAAGTTGCCACGGTTTGGCCAAATGTTGCAGAGCACTTCTTCATGACCGTGTGGACAGCCATCTCCTGTTGCAAGCAGTGGACTTAATGCGGCAGTGCCTGTGAGCGAAACAGGTTCCATCCTCCAATTCTGGAGACTCTGCCCGCAGATGTCCAAATTATCCATGAGGAAATTAGCAAAGCATAGAGGCAAATAAGAAGTGCACCAGCAGAAACTCTGGATGTCTCCATCAATCTGCTGCCATTTCTCCATGTTCGATGTCGTTTTCAGGTTGCCCTGTCACCGTGTCACCCTTTGCTATCGTGTCCTGCGCGCCACCAGTGAACATGCCGGTATATCGGGCCACAGCCTTGGTGCAGCAGTATTCTGGAGTCACGCATTTCCACGCATTTCACCGCATTTCTACCCATTTCTACCTTTTGTTGCTACAGCCTGCTAGGGCCTGCTAGGGGCTGAGGTGGTTCTTTTGGTGTTTTTCGCAACTATCCATGCCTGCAGATCCCCACAGTTAACCCACGTATCCGTCAATGGATACATGAGAAAATACATGCGTATAAGCTGCGGATATAAAATGATATAAGTATATGATAGTATATGCAAATGCACAAATATTATATATATATGATTATATAGTAATTATGTATATTTATACACAATCGTACCAAAACACAGCGGCCCACGTGGGCACCAAGCCCTTCAGCAATCTGGAGAAACAATGCTGGACAACTATGACCATACTAGAAAGACGATCATTCTACCAGACCAAGGCTTTCACAACGGTAGGTTGTGACAAATCCAAGGAGCGTCAATGAGCAAGCAGCCGCAAATGTTGCCAATGTATGCAATGCTCCAGTTGCGGATCAAGTCCTTTTCTGACGGCCAAGAATCCAAGCATCAGCAAATAATGCGAAATCTACATCTGAGACTGATCCCCCCAGGAGCTTCTTTTATCTCGTTCCACCTTCGTTGTTGCTTCCGGTCCGCTGTCGGCGCGCGTCTTTTTGCTCGCTTGACTGCTAGGCACGGCGTGTTTCTCTTCACATTCTTCACTGCGCGCAATATTTCGTTGTGGCGGGAAAGAGGAAGTTTACGGGAGGTCGGGGGGGGTTGATAATAACGTTCTTTTGCGTTGCGCCTTGATTTAATCCATGGTCCATGGTTGTTAAGTTGCTGTTAAGTTGCTGTTAAGCTGTTAACTTGACCAAGTACCTCGGAAATTGCTTCGTATGCTGCATGCTGAACTTTCTTTACAAACTTCCAACACGCTCTTGGTGCTATTATCTTATATAATGTGTTCCCACAAAATCTAAGAGAGTTTTTGTGTGTATGTTATATTGATATATATATATATAATATATATATTATAATATATATATATTGATACCCTTTCCACTGTCTCGCGTATTTTGGCTTTTGTTGGGGTGGTTGATAACTGTTTTATGTTAAATGCTGTTATCTTCTAATGAAAATTTATGAAAATGTTATATAGATAGCCCAGGATTAGAAACAGTCTAACATGCCAAGGTTTTCTATCGCAAGAGAGGAATGGGGCACTTTAACTGTGATCCCAAAAAATATCAAAAAATATGGGAAAGTCGAGCATGACAATGCCTGGCTGAAGATATGAGGGAAAGGGCTGCCTGGTCAGTGCGCGCCCACAAGGGACCAGAACAATGTTCTTATCAGTCTATGTGTTGCAAAAGGACGCTTTATCAAACCTTGGTGCTGTGGATGTGAACAGGGACCGACAAAAAATCAAAGATGTGTTCCAAGAGGGTATCATACAGTGGAGGGTCTGTGCGGCTGAGTCGGTCATTCTTTACTTGCGTTATTAGATGCAAAAGCGCAACTTGCGAGGAGTTTGATGATCACCTACATCTGTTTTCCTTGGTGAAAGAAGTGTCCTTGGTGGTGCACTTCTTTTCGTAGATGCCAATGGCCATTGTGGCACTGTTGCCAGTGAAGAGCTGACCACCAGTAGTCAAGACCAAGAGCAGGTTGATGGGGAACAAGGCCTTGGGTTCGATGAATTCGAATTCCACCCAACCATCGGAGAATTTTCTCAAAGCTGCTGAATCTGTTGGTGACTGTGCTGACGCATGGTCATTGCAAACTTTGACATTCAGCGCATGTGTCGCTAGTCTTCGACTTTTGTCTAAGTCTACGCCGAAAACACATGAAAAGACCAGCTGAGCTGCTGCGAAGACTGCTTTCTGCGTGATGAACTCAGAAGCCATGTTGCCACCGATCACCAGAGACAGCAAACCAGCCATGCCCACATAGGCACCACCTCAACAGAGTCCGGCAGTGCGAAGCTGCCGATTTGCCTTTGCCGATTTGGATTCTCTAAGTCACTGTCGATTCTCTACTGCCTCACACCAAACTGAGACATCGACCCATGAAAGAGGCGTGGAAGGTCTTTGTCCAATGCTGATCTCTCAAATACCTGAGCTAAATTCAGTTCCGTAGCTTGAAAACGATCAACTTGTATGTCAAATATGTTAACTCCTACACCTCGAATCATCTCAATCAGTTTGTTTCAGTCATTTCCAGAATCGACGAAAGTGATCAAACGGCTCCTTGTGGCCACATCTGTGACATCACCACGAAGGGTTGTGGGGTCTTATGAGACTTGCTTACTGCAGAAGCCGGCCACAGAATGGAATCTACGGTAATCTACGTTTTTCAATGACCATGAAAAACACAGGGCAGAGTTGGCAGACGTAATACGCGTAGCTACATCATCTCTCCAAAGGGACACTCTCCAACAACAATCTAATGAAAGCCATTGAAACCATGACAGTTTCAGCATTCCTGGGTAGGATTCCCTGGTACAAACGTCGTAACGTGGAGTAAAAACCTAGTCACTTCCCCGTAGTTGGGCTCTCTACAACCTCAATCGCAACATAGAAATAGGAGTCCTAACCCTGAAACACTTGGGTTGGCCTTGCAATGGCTATTGTGTGTTTGTGTGTTTGTGTGTTTGTGTGTTTGCGTGCGTGTGAAATTGCATTTAAAGTTTGTGAATTCCTGGGTTCCTCGAAAATCCAATGCAAGCCGGGTCCATCAATTCAGTAGTCTGGGTATGTCTGGGTATGTCTGGGTGTGAATTCAGCAGCCATGCCGCCAGGGAACTCAGACTTGTCCACCAACTCCTGGTAGGTCTCCTGTGGCGATCCCACCACCGCAGTGGAGGGGCCACTTGGTCCTGCCCGCAGTGCACTGCGACGCTCCCGCCAGCGGACTCCACCAGCCACCACAAACATGGCCGCCATGGACGTCAGCGCCTGGTTAACCTGCACCAAGGCTGATGGCAGCATCCAAAAGGAAGATGTCAATACAACCAATCTGACCAATCACATCCAATGACCAAATCAGCAGCTTCCCAGTCCCGACATGTCGTGACCCCATTTCTCTGGAACTAGTGCAGACCGATATTCTCTGCACCGACTAGAACATACTTTAAAACATACTTTATCATACTTTACTTCTCTGCCTTTTCATTGTCTTGGCGTACGTTGTCACAGTTCAAAGGCACTTCATGCAGGCTTGTCACAGATGGATCATCAGAGTAGCCACTGACAAAGGCTGGACCGCGAGATTGAAATTTGGAGAAGTCATTTCTCACCTTGCGGCAATTTGTTGCAGCTCGGTTTGAAGTTGTTAGCAACATGCAATCGTTTCTGTGAGGCACGGAGATTGCAAGGATGAACAAAACACTCCAGCCGATCCGCCATGATCCGTCATGATCCGTCATGATCTGGTATGTGTTTGTGTGTATGTGTGTCTGTGTGTCACTGCGTAGCTCCATTGCAATTTAGAGTTGGATTCAAATGGTTCAAATCGATCTCATCAGCTTAGCTGCATATCTCATGCTGGACCTGATAAAGCACAACACACTTGATACCGACATGCCATCTGTCTAGCATCTGGCATGTTTTCTCCCATGAAAGCCATCTCTTTGGTTCCACTTAAGTTCAACTTCTGTCCTATTGTCGCGGCTTTGTATGCAAAATTCAGGATTCAAATAGATTCAAAAAGATTCAAAAAGATTCAAAAAGATTCAAAAAGTCAGAAAGGCCAAAAGGCGAGGACTTTTCCATGCTGAATGCTGAAACAGCTGCAACAGCTGCAGCTGAGATCTCTTGCAGCTTTGAGACTGTTGAGACTTCGGGCTTGGCCACTGTGGCCACTGCCTGGGGCACCACAAAGGCCACTGACGACATGGCGACGAGGAGTGCGAACGCGGGGTGCAGCTTGGGTGCAGCCTGAATCCCTTGAGCATGGCGAATCAAGTCGGGAGATGTCGGGAGATGTCGGGAGATGTCGCGAAGGGGGGTCAGTCGCCACAGATTTCTGGTAGTTCCTGTAGTTCCTTTAGGTTTGAAGCCAAGAAGTTCATCTAGACTTTCGCTCTCGACTCTCAAAAAAACTAGACCATCCAGATATGATATGTCCATGAAAATTACATACATCCTTTACTGCGGTACCCACAACTCAAAACTAGGTTTTAAGGTCGCATTCCAAGGAGCAAGGAAACTTCGTGGCATTCACAAAACACGTGTTCACAGGGTGGCAACAAAGCATCACATGGAGTTGGATGGTATCAGCCAGCGTCTCTAAAATGCGTTGCAAATGATAAACTCCTTTTGCATGTGCCCAGTTTGGTTGGTCTTGGAAGCGATGCTTCCGAGCCTGATTGCAGACTTAAAAGTGCCCACGATCAGCTCTGATATTTCTACAGCAGTCTGTTGTGCCGATGAAAAAATAAGCGGCTTGAGGCCGTCCAACGTCTCGCAACGTCTCGCGACGTCTCCCATCGTCTCCCTATGCCTTTGTCATAGGGAGATTCTGCCAGGTCGATGTTCTCACGCAGCCTGGGTAGCCAGGGCAGCCAGGCCTTGGTTTTCACTCGTCCTCCTTTTCCTCCTTGTCCTCCTTATCCTCCTTATCCTCCTTCTTTCCCAGTCGGCCGAAAGAGAAGGACATGCCTGCACCCACAACCTCACTCGACAGCTGGAATAACTCATGTGAAAATAAAGAAAGCGGTAAGTGTGTAACTCACGAGGATCTACCGTTTTGACAGAAGTGTCACACACATCCTAGTTCTGCCTGCTTGGGCTCATGTCTCGCAAACTGCAGGATTGAAGCACATCTCACAAAGCCCAAAAAATCAACCTACAGAAAAATGCATACAAGTAAGCAAGGCTGGAATTGTATTGAACGGGCAATGGGTGTTGATTGTCTGTCATGCTGCAAAGCGCACAGCACTTCGAAGCATTGAACCAAGCTACAAAAGCACCCGCGATGGCATTGCCAATGGTGACTGGAATCAGGTTCTTGATCAAGATGTCACCCCAGCTCAGAGGAGCACCTGAAAAAAACAGCTCACAGAAGGGACAGAAGGGATGAAACAACGACTCAATCAAACCGCTTTCACTGAAACATATTGAAACATGATGACACAAAGGCACTCAATATGCCACTTGAAGACAATCGATGCTACGTGGGAGTATCCACCTGCTTGATTTAATCTGCTTTGATTCAATAACCTTCCGCAACTCGCAAGCTTCATAAATCTGTAACACCTCGCTACCAGGTGCGAATAGCATCTTGAAACATAATACAGGCTGTATATCAGCACTTTTTCTGGCCGACATGCATCGCTCAAACAGCTAATCCGACAGGTCTGTGAGGGGCCTGAAAACAGTCCTGCTGGAAGGATGAACATGTTTGCCACGGAGTGCTCGAAGCCAATGGCGATGAACATCGAAATGGGGAACCAAACTCCCACCATTTTGCCAGAGAGATCCTGAAACATAGACACAGAATGACACAGAGACATGTCATGTGTACTCTGTGTACTCTGCAAATTCTCATGATGAGCTCACCAGAAACAGGAGAAAACTTGCACGAGAAAATATCTGACTGTGACAGATATTTTAGAAAGCCAGTGAAGCCCCAGGACATTTAGCAAAAGTTAGGTGCTTTGGTAGAATCTAAAGTTTGTCGGCCTTTAACGTATGATAGACTTCATTGGTCTTCATTTGGGCCTTTGTTTCTTGGACATGAAATACTGCTGCAATTGCCACAACTTTTCTCTGAACACGCGGCTGTGCACAGGTCTTTTGGAAGCGGGACTCAGATATTGCGATGCCGCTGCAGCCATGCAAAGCAACTTTTGCGCCCGAAACTGGCGACACTGCCACTACTGCAGACTACTGCAGAGTATATAGCCGCATATAGCCGCTGGTCACTTGTGTCTGTGCAGAAGCTTGGCTAGCTACCGGAGTCTTCCGAGCAACTTCCTGGTTCATGTGACCAGCCTTTTGTTAACATGGCTTGTGACTGACACACTGAAAAACATCACTTTGGCCAAGCCTCGTTCAAGTCGCTTACTTGAAATGGAAGATTGGATTGAAAATTGATACTCTTTCATACAGTTGTGCGCCCTGCCTTTCAGGGCCTCCTGTCTACAATATTTACAAATATGTCAAAGTATTGTCCGCAAATGAAAGCTCAGCTCTGAAGATGGTATGCCGATGTATGCCGCGTGCACTATAGATTTCCGGGTGCTGCATACCGGGCACGATGAGCTGCAAACCGTTTCCCTCTGCAAGGCGAGCCACTGTCTCCATAGAAGGATGCCATCGAGCCCTCAATCTTGAGGTTCTTTCCCCCTGCAGTGATGGATGCAAAATCGTTCGGGCAGTACACAATCACATCAGAGATACCATTAGTGCCATTAGCCTTCAATTCAGCTTGCTTTTCCGGATAGCCAGGAACTGTCTTTGTAGATCAGGTGGGAGTAAATGCACGGGGCAGGCCCACCATGATCACCTTAACCCTGATGATCTCTTTGAGGAGCACTTTGGGGAAGCCTTTGTCCAAGGTCGCAAAAGGCGGCACCCTTCGCAAATGGCTCTAAAGTTGCACCTAAGAAAACTTTGACCCGAAATGGCTACGCGGTGCAAAGTTTGGTGCTCCAGCTAACAGAGAGGGCAATTCATTGAAATTTCTGAATAGGTTGCACAGAGAGGGCACATTGGTCTACCATGGTTACACAATATCTGTCGATCCAATGGTCTACCATTGGTCTACCAGTCCTTGGCCATGGTGCACAGCCACACTGCCATGCACACCAGCCAGTTGCACATGATGCCCTTGACCTCGGTGACAAGTTGAGACTTACAATGACTCACATAGCTTTCTTACGCTTTCTTTGTGTTTCTCAGGTATCTTTCCAATCCTTTATCTGCCAACACTGCCAACACTGCCAACAAAGCAAGCTAAGAAATGATAAGAATTTATTGGAAAACGTGAGCGTCAGCAGCAACCTTCGCACCAACTGTAACTGGCAGTCCATTGCAATCATTGCATGCGCATGCAATAAGCAATAGCCTCATCCTAATAGCTCACCCTCCTCAGTCAGTTCCAAGTGACCACAGTCTGTCCAAAGGTAGCTGAACACTTCTTCATGACTGTGTGGACTGCCATCTCCTCACCAGGGAACAGAGCAAAAAACGCACAAATTCATTGTATTCATTCCCTAGAGGAGACAAAGTGCTCGCAGGCAAAGAGTTCCCAACAGTGCCTTGTCCGTCAATATCATGAATGTTAGAAAGAAGTGCTGGCAACTTATTGATAGGTCACAATGCTAGGCATCTGAGCAAAGTCTCATGTTGCAGTCTATGCACTCAAAATCACTCAAAGCTTCCGGTTCCTTTGCACAAAAATGTCATCTTATGTCATCCTATGTCGACTGAGCGTCGTGGAATCCGTGGAATCCGTGGAAGCCGCTACCCTGCCCCCTGTCCTGTGCGCCTCCGGTGAACATGCCGGTGTATCGGGCCACAGCCTCGGTTGCCGATGGCATTGCCGCTGCCACGCGCTGTCTACACGATTCCTACACGTAGCTTGGCTCTGCCAGGCGACATCGATCAGCAAGCAGCCGCAAATGTTGCCAATGTATGCAATGCTCCAGTTGCGGATCAAGTCCTTTTCTGACGGCCAAGAATCCAAGCATCAGCAAATAATGCGAAATCTACATCTGAGACTGATCCCCCCAGGAGCTTCTTTTATCTCGTTCCACCTTCGTTGTTGCTTCCGGTCCGCTGTCGGCGCGCGTCTTTTTGCTCGCTTGACTGCTAGGCACGGCGTGTTTCTCTTCACATTCTTCACTGCGCGCAATATTTCGTTGTGGCGGGAAAGAGGAAGTTTACGGGAGGTCGGGGGGGGTGGTAATAACGTTCTTTTGCGTTGCGCCTTGATTTAATCCATGGTCCATGGTTGTTAAGTTGCTGTTAAGTTGCTGTTAAGTTGCTGTTAAGTTGCTGTTAAGTTGCTGTTAAGTTGCTGTTAAGCTGTCAACTTGACCAAGTACCTCGGAAATTGCTTCGTATGCTGCATGCTGAACTTTCTTTACAAACTTCCAACACGCTCTTGGTGCTGTTATCTTATATAATGTTGTCCCACAAAATCTAAGAGAGTTTTTGTGTGTATGTTATATTGATATATATATATATAATATATTGATACCCTTTCCACTGTCTCGCGTATTTTGGCTTTTGTTGGGGTGGTTGATAACTGTTTTATCATGCTGTTATCTTCTAGTGAAAATTTTAGATAGCCCAGGATTAGAAACAGTCTGACATGCCAAGGTTTTGTATCGCAAGAGAGGAATGGGGCACTTTAACTGTGATCCCAAAAAAAAATCAAAAAATATGGGAAAGTCGAGCATGACAATGCCTGGCTGAAGATATGAGGGAAAGGGCTGCCTGGTCAGTGCGCGCCCACAAGGGACCAGAACAATGTTCTTATCAGTCTATGTGTTGCAAAAGGACGCTTTATCAAACCTTGGTGCTGTGGATGTGAACAGGGACCGACAAAAAATCAAAGATGTGTTCCAAGAGGGTATCATACAGTGGAGGGTCTGTGCGGCTGAGTCGGTCATTCTTTACTTGCGTTATTAGATGCAAAAGCGCAACTTGCGAGGAGTTTGATGATCACCTACATCTGTTATCCTTGGTGAAAGAAGTGTCCTTGGTGGTGCACTTCTTTTCGTAGATGCCAATGGCCATTGTGGCACTGTTGCCAGTGAAGAGCTGACCACCAGTAGTCAAGACCAAGAGCAGGTTGATGGGGAACAAGGCCTTGGGTTCGATGAATTCGAATTCCACCCAACCATCGGAGAATTTTCTCAAAGCTGCTGAATCTGTTGGCGACTGTGCTGACGCATGTTCATTGCAAACTTGGACATTCAGCGCATGTGTCGCTAGTCTTCGACTTTTGTCTAAGTCTACGCCGAAAACACATGAAAAGACCAGCTGAGCTGCTGCGAAGACTGCTTTCTGCGTGATGAACTCAGAAGCCATGTTGCCACCGATCACCAGAGACAGCAAACCAGCCATGCCCACATAGGCACCACCTCAACAGAGTCCGGCAGTGCGAAGCTGCCGATTTGCCTTTGCCGATTTGGATTCTCTAAGTCACTGTCGATTCTCTACTGCCTCACACCAAACTGAGACATCGACCCATGAAAGAGGCGTGGAAGGTCTTTGTCCAATGCTGATCTCTCAAATACCTGAGCTAAATTCAGTTCCGTAGCTTGAAAACGATCAACTTGTATGTCAAATATGTTAACTCCTACACCTCGAATCATCTCAATCAGTTTGTTTCAGTCATTTCCAGAATCGACGAAACTTATCAAACGGTTCAATGTGGCCACATCTGTGACATCACCACGAAGGGTTGCGGGGTCTTATGAGACTTGCTTACTGCAGAAGCCGGCCACAGAATGGAATCTACGGTAATCTACGTTTTTCAATGACCATGAAAATCACAGGGCAGAGTTGGCAGACGTAATACGCGTAGCTACATCATCTCTCCAAAGGGACACTCTCCAACAACAATCTAATGAAAGCCATTGAAACCATGACAGTTTCAGCATTCCTGGGTAGGATTCCCTGGTACAAACGTCGTAACGTGGAGTAAAAACCTAGTCACTTCCCCGTAGTTGGGCTCTCTACAACCTCAATCGCAACATAGAAATAGGAGTCCTAACCCTGAAACACTTGGGTTGGCCTTGCAATGGCTATTGTGTGTTTGTGTGTTTGTGTGTTTGCGTGCGTGTGAAATTGCATTTAAAGTTTGTGAATTCCTGGGTTCCTCGAAAATCCAATGCAAGCCGGGTCCATCAATTCAGTAGTCTGGGTATGTCTGGGTATGTCTGGGTGTGAATTCAGCAGCCATGCCGCCAGGGAACTCAGACTTGTCCACCAACTCCTGGTAGGTCTCCTGTGGCGATCCCACCACCGCAGTGGAGGGGCCACTTGGTCCTGCCCGCAGTGCACTGCGACGCTCCCGCCAGCGGACTCCACCAGCCACCACAAACATGGCCGCCATGGACGTCAGCGCCTGGTTAACCTGCACCAAGGCTGATGGCAGCATCCAAAAGGAAGATGTCAATACAACCAATCTGACCAATCACATCCAATGACCAAATCAGCAGCTTCCCAGTCCCGACATGTCGTGACCCCATTTCTCTGGAACTAGTGCAGACCGATATTCTCTGCACCGACTAGAACATACTTTAAAACATACTTTATCATACTTTACTTCTCTGCCTTTTCATTGTCTTGGCGTACGTTGTCACAGTTCAAAGGCACTTCATGCAGGCTTGTCACAGATGGATCATCAGAGTAGCCACTGACAAAGGCTGGACCGCGAGATTGAAATTTGGAGAAGTCATTTCTCACCTTGTGGCAGTTCGGTTTGAAGTTGTTAGCAACATGCAAACAGACCCAGCTGATGAAATTGAAAATTGTTTCCTCTACACACACATTGATGTACATATCTACCATATCCACATATATAACGCGGACAATTTCAAGGTCTCATATCCACATATATATAAGTCAAAGGAGACAATAAATACACACATATGTATGTAGATATGTAAATACCTGTATAGAAATGTCCATTACATTACACTACATCACATTACATTTCCATACATACAGACATACAAACATACACACATACATACAGACATACGCACCGACATACAGGCATATATACAGGCATTCGAACATACAGACATACATACAGACATAAAGAAATACAGACACACAGACATACATACAGACATACACACATACAGAGAGACATACATACAGACATACAGACATACATTACACAATATACATGATACATTACACATTACACATGATACAGGTTACATTTTACATTTTACAATTTACATCATACATGACATATATACATACAGGCATACAGACATACAGACATTACATTACATTACGTTACATTACATTACATTGCATTACATTGCATTACATTACATTACATACATTACATACATTAGATACATTAGATCCATACATACATACATACATTCAGACAGACAGACAGACATACAGACATGCAGACATACAGGCATACATACAGACAGACATACATTACATACATTACTAATTACATACATTGCATACATTACATACATTACATACATCACATACATTATATACATTACAAAAAAGAAATACATGAAATACAGTACATCACATACAATGACATTACATACATACATGTTTACATACATACATACATACCATACCATACCATACCATACCATACCATACCATACCATACCATCATACATACATACAGATACAGATACAGATACAGATACAGATACAGATACAGATACAGATACAGATACAGATATACAGATACAGATACAGATACAGATACATATATACATACATACATACAGATACATATATACATACATACATACATACATACATACAGACGGACGGACGGACAGACAGACATGCATGCATGCATGCATGCATACATACATACATACATTTCATACATTACATGCATTACATGCATTACATACATTACATACACTACATGCATTAAATACACTACATACATTACATACATTACATGACATTACATTAGGTTACATTACATGACATTACATTACATACATTACATACATTACATACATTACATACATTGCATACATTAAATACATTACATACATTACATACATTACATACATTGCATGCATTGCATACATTACATTACGTTACGTTACGTTATGTAATATTACATTGCATTACATTACATTACATTAAAACATACATACATACATTACATTACATTACATTAAGTTACATTACATACATACATACATACATACATACATACATTAACTGTGGCGACTTGCATGATTCAATTCAAGCATTTCACTTTAGACATTTTGTGAAACCCTTTGGGTCCAAATCTTTAGGGGCCCCTTGAGTACCATCGACGCCACGGGAACAAACGATGCGCATTTTACGTGCTGCTCTTTCGATTTAGATCTCAATTTCCAACTATCAGATTTTCAATTGAATCTACTGTTTCGGCGTGAACCGACAGATTGGTCACGCGGAGCTGGTTCAGGGCTGCTGCGCAAAACTCCGTGTTTTCTGAAGCGTGCGAAGTTCGTTCAACGGTGACGTGAAGGAACCTGAGGATGAGAAATCTGCTAGCACAGCGCCTCTCTGGGACGGGCGGCCCGAAAACTTCCAGCATTACGTGCAAGAGGTTTAATGGTTTCTAGCAGCTATGAAAGCTTCTGAGCGTCCCTATGCTGCTGCTAGGTTGATTCGTCGCATGCTGCAGTCTGCGTATAGTGCTTTGAAGTCCCTTATGTATAAGCTAGACTGTCAGACTTTAGCGATGAACAAGGGACTCAAAAACGAGTCAGTTTCCTTGAAGCTAGTCAGCTAGTCCTATGAATCGTCAACCAATCCCAGATGCTGGAGCCAAACTTAGCCAGTATTATAGGACACTTAGTGAGAAGAACAACGAGACGATTCCCCAATTTCTGGTTCGCGAAGATACACTGGACTTCTCGAAGTATGAGGTGACAGAGGCGGAACTGAAGACCTTTTGTGGGATGGACCCCAATGTGAGTTACTATGTTCCAGGAGACCTTGACGGTGATGATCCTGATTCAGAATCTGGGTCACAGCGTGGTCATACCACGGTGAAGCCTGATGATGATCAGGGATCTAAAGGTTTTCCTCCACACGGTTCATCCAAAAAGGGCTCATCTAGTCGTTCAGATCCAGCACCTCGACCTATCAAGAAGAAGAAGAAGGACTTGATAGAGAGGCTCATGGAGAAAGGTTTGATTCCGCCTGCAGCTCTCGATATTTTAGGAGGATGGATGGTCCTTGAGATGGCTTCGAGTTCAGACATGGACAAGGCACTGGTCAAGGCATCCAGCCAGAATAAGTTGGGGTATGATTCGATTCGCCAAGCACTTCGGGCTATGCACGAAGACCGAGATCAGCAATCAGGGGTAGGCCACAAGGGGAAAGGTAAAGGGTACTATGCACATTGGTTAATGATGACTGGTCCTCTACATATTCCCCTAACGACTATGACAATGAATATGACACCTACCAGACCGAAGCACTGGACTGTGACAGTAGCTGGGAAGATTCATATGATGGTCAAGAACAGGAATGGCAAGAGGAGACGGAACAGGCTGAGGAGGTAGAGGATGAAACCCATGATCATGACAGTGAGAAAATTGCAATGTTGACCCAGCTGCAGGAGGAGCAAAAGTTGCAGGTGATGATGGCTGACACCCGGCGAAACTTGCAGCAGGCACGACAAGCAGTACTGTAGCTCAGACCCGTCGGGGGGCAAACCATCTTCACGGCCTACGAGCACCTTCATGAAAGGCCAAGGAATGAACAAAGGCAAGAGTAAGTTGACAGGGAAAGGCACGAGTCCTTGCAGTCCAGTTATGTGGGCAACCAAAGGGTCCTTCAAGGGAAAGTCCAAATTGCCACCCAAGGGCTACTCTGGAAAGAATAGTTACTACCAAGATTACTACGAGTCCGGCATGCTTGCACTTGAGACTGTGGATGAAGACGTTCAGCTGTATGCCAACAAGATGCATGCACCTGGGAGTCAAAGCTCTGGCGCCTCATTAGTTGAGGCTGGCGGCAACAAAGCTGTTGTTGATACAGGGCCACAGTCACGGCTGGCGGAAAGCCGGCTGTGGAAGATCTGTTGAAGGGTCTGGCAGAAGCCAGACCGAGCCTCCAGGTATTTAGGTATGGTTCTGGACGTTGGGGAAAGGCGTTGTATCGTGTACAGTTGAGCTTTGGTTCATAAACCTTCAATGTATATGCGTTACCATCAAAAAATGTTCCGGTTTTGGTTGGCATGAGGGAACTCAAACAAATGGGCATCATCTTGAACACTGGAAACTGTCATGCGTTGATAGGAGGACATCCGCGAATTTTGTCGAAGACGTCCAAGGGTCATGCTTTGTTGGATTTTGCAACTGATATTCCATATACCCCGCAGCCTTCCAGAAGCACCATGTCTCCAAACAAGCGCATTTTTCTGAGTCTACCCAACAAATTTTCATGGTGGAGTTTGATTTTTCCTCTTATGAATGTCACGCACACCATGCATCAGATGATGATCAAGTGTCAACCGATGAGCCTGCTTTTCCATTTTTTGCGGTGCAGCAAGAGCAGTCTCATGATTCGACACGTTTTATCCAAGATTTTGTGGGCGTTGATGCATCTGCGTGGTCGCTTTTGATTGGACCTCAATTAAGCGTTTTCAGTGGATCAGATCGAAGTTTTCCCAGATTTCAGCCTCAGTCTAATTCAGCGTCAGCTGATCATGTCGGCGACCTCCAGCCAAGACATCAAAGCTCTGATCGAGGATGCAGTCAAAGAAGTCATGGAAGAGAAAATGAAGGAGAACGATCAGCGCCAGGGATATCCAATTCCAAAATTGAAAGCCAACGCGAAGTTGCCAACGCCAAAGGTCAAGTTCGACGAGTCCAGGAAAATGGTTCCCACGTCCAGCTCCGATCCCAGAATGGGCCAGGATCAATGGCCATGCATGGGGACTCACACCGAAGTCGTCAGCAACAACCGCTGGGGAAAGTGGCACGAGCGACATGCGGAGTTCACTTGAGCTACACTCCAGCAGAGGGTGCTCCAGCGAATTCATGCAAGATCGACCATGGCCCGAATGTGATCGAGGCTAGGGAGAGATTGAGGAGCATGGGGTGGACAAAAGAGGAGCTCGCCCACAACACAGTCAAGAACATGGTGAAGCAGGTTGCAGCAGAGAAAGTGACCATCAGGCCAAAGGAGTCTCAAAAACCACCAAGGACAAGAGCCAAAAGAAGGAGAAACCCACAGAGGAGGTCGAAGTGCCTTCGGACGATTCCTTCGAGGAAGCAGATCCAAAGACTTTGAAACCAATGAAGGAAGCAAAAGTCTAGACATGAGTCCTCCTGAAGAAGACCTCTGGCTAGATTGGGGCGAGAGGCAGCTATCCCAGGTGCAGCAACAGTTGTTGTGCTCATCTGCTGAGGAGCATTTTTCACTATCTGACCCATCCCGTGCATTACGGGATCTGAAGCATGCAGTAGAGCAGGAGCATGTTTGGGAAGTTTGTTGTAGTCCGGAATCTAGCCTGACAAAGGAGGCAAGACGTCAAGGCTTTTGTGCAACTCGGTGGGGTTGGGAGAATGGCTTTGACCTAGGTAGTGCTGCAAAGGTTGATCAGATGATTTCACAAATACCTACCTCGCATGAAGCCTACACGTGTTTGGGCATCACCGAAATGCACCAGTGCAATTCAAAACTTGACCCACCAAACTGACCAACAGAGATTTGAGCTGCAAAAG